ATGAGAAGGAAGGACTCCCTGGAGAAGAGCCTGATGCTGGGAACAATAGATGGCAAAAGAAGAAGGGGACGGCAGAGAATGAGGTGGCTGGATGGAGTCACCAGGGCAGTGGATGTGAGCTTGAGTGGACTTCGAGGGATGGTGGAGGACAGGAAAGCCTGGAGGAATGTTTTCTATGGGGTCGTGATGGGTCAATCACGACTTCACAACTAACAACTTCAATGGCATTCATACCTAGTTAAATGAATATAGGGTTGCTACCTAACAGTAATAATTTCCTTCACACTTTCAAAATCCCTTATAAAAACATTTAACAGTCCAAATAGTTCAGCTAACACCCCTGAACAGATGTTCATTCTAACAGGAATGAATAGTATTCACAGATTTAGCAAGTCTTAGCCAGTTTGGAAATTGGGTTGAACAAGAGAGACCAATAGCTTGCGTTTGAAGACTGTAATAAGTTTAATGAAAAAGCCCATCATTCAAGCCAGGGCGAGAATTCTTACATACAGCTGGCACATTGGACAAGACATCCTGATGAGAGCACTGCAGGATGGAAATGGGCTACAGGGCAACACATGGCAATGGTTTAAATGCTTATTCAGGGGCAGCTGCCATCACATTACAAGACAGACATCCAAAGCCTCCAGTGGTATGGCAAGGTGACCACCGCTGTTACCATTCACAGCCACTCTGAAATCTGGGGAAGCCAGTGAATGGGAGAAATGCTGGTATTTAGTGGCTGGAGGACACAGACTGCTTTGCCTTGTAGTTACAGCTGCCACATGGCTCCATTTGGAGGTTTCTGTGAGCACCCCCAAAGGCATACGCACTGGGGACGTCACCGTTTCAGTATACCTGGTGAAGCCTTACTCAGCTGGATGCCCACCAGATGTGTTGGATTCCAACTTCCATCTCCCCTATGATGGGAGTTGTAGTCCAACATATCTGGCAGGCATCAATCTGGACAAGGCTGATCTCACGGTTCCTGTTGATTAGCTTCTTTTTGTTTTAACAAAACGAAACACACACTTGTGGTTTGATATGTCAACAGACACACACACCAACTGAGAAGCAATGCTTCCCAGCTGATGGAATAAAAGGATTCAACAGCTTTGTGTCTCGGATATTCCTAGATAAAAAGGAAATTTAGGCCCACAACTAGCCTTTTAGTTGTGCCACAGTTCAAAGTTTAGTTGGGCTCAGATTCAGCAACGTAGAAACCCAGATCTCTTAGCTGTAAGGAACTGAGTTCGTCTTAGGACTTAAAACCTTGGGAACCAAAATAACTATTTGTGTGTCTTCAGCATATGAGAGGATCTCATTCAGGCTTACTCTCCCACTGCAAAAACAGGGCCTATGTCACAGCTTTAGTGCTAGTGACTGGGACGAATGGATCCTGCCCAGATTGCTTCATTTTAGAATTAAGCAGTTTGCTGTTGATCCCAGGCTCCATCCCTGGAGCCTTCTTGGTGCTTTTCACAGCTCCAGCCCCAAACTGAAGCCCTTCATAGCTACTTTAGCAGCATTTTAAGAACTTCCTGTCCTCCTGGGAGCCAATTTGCAGCAGGGCCACAGAGCCACTAGGAGACCACATCAACTGGCTTCATCCACTTGTCATGGACAGGGACTTTCATGCCCTTGCGGGATCCAGATCAGCTATCCTGTTCACCCTCAGCCAGCAGGTCGCCTACTCCAGTGAAATTTAATTCCTTATTGTCAATGTTAACAGAGCTTATGTTGGGACCAAGAACCTCTGAGGAGAAAGCACGAGCCTGGAAGCCATCTTCCCCTGTCGAAGCAGCGCTCTCATTCATGTACATCTCCAAATGTCTCAGCAGTTGCCTTGGGTTTCTTTTGGCAAATGCTTCCAGCTCTAGAGGGGAAAAAAGAAACATGACATCGGATATCCACCTGCTTGGACAAAGATTGTGACACCTGGACAAAGATAAGCACTTTTAAGGCTCTTAACTAAAGTGGAAAGATACACTGGAGAAAACCATTAACGCTAAGAAAAGTCAAAGGCAGAAGACGTCAACTAACAGATGGATCAGTTCCATAAAGGAAGCCACAACCTTGAGCACAACAGGGCTGTCAGGGACAAAACGTTTTGGAGGGCATTCATTCATAGGGTCACCATAAGACAGAGATGACTTGGCGACATGGAACAGCAACAGTTAAGTGAGGAAAAGGTGACATGAGTGGATGACCCAGAAGTCTTCTCCATTGGCTGATGGCTGGGAACAAAGGGAGATGGAAGTGCAGGCAGAAGTGTTGGGACAAAGAACTTCTCTTCCCCATACGGAACACATTGCCTGCTGCCACTGTTCAAAACTGCACCATTCTGTGTTGGAGCAGAGTAGGAACCAACTCTTTTTAAGGGGCTTTCGATGCTCTTTTGGTCTGTTCAGATTTTAAGCAGCTATGATGCAGGGACTATTTTGCAGTCCCCCTTAATGGCATCAGGTAAATTCAGAATTCACTATCAGGTACATAATTTGGCAGCCCGAGTAACCAATTAGAATGTCATTTCAACTAGATCAACCAACTAGAATTTCCCAAACTGGGTGCCAGCCCTAATTTAGGAAATTCAGACACAGCACTGGTGGCACGAATTACATGAACGCTAACACATTTGCTTCATTTGCCCGATGAACCCTAGACACAGAAGCTACCTTCATCTGATGGGGAATGCTTGCTTGCTTGCTTGTTTTGGTCACAGAGCTATACATGGACTCACTGTAGCACTCGCTTTACCTGCCCGATACCTTATTTGGATAAATGGCCTCGAGCGGATAATAATTTACAGGGGGCACAATCTGGAATTAAAATCCATGGCCTCTTCGGAAGGAAGATACAAGGTATCTACCCCACCATTAGTGGTTCTTCTGAAGAAGACGTCATGCTGGACGTTCCCTGCATCATGTGATCCCAGGGATTCTTTTTCATGTAAGTGCTGAACAGCCAACAGAAGAAAATAAAATGCAGCCTCCTCACTGATAAATCAAACAGCAGAAGAACATAAGAAAAGCCATGTTGGATCGGCTCAATGGCCCATCCAGACCAGCGCTCCACTCACACTGTGGCACCCCAGTTGTCCACAGCATCCGTCCAGCAGGATGGGTGCCGGACCTCCTCCTGCCCAAGCGTCTCAGCAAATGGTCCATGCAGGCCTGCTGCCTCGGAGAACAAAGGCAGCACAAAGCCAGCGAGTTAGTAGCCCCTGACAGACTTCTCCTCCATGACCTATGCTAGGAAGCCACATCAAACGTTTTTGGCAGAGGCAGCGGTAGACAGAAGGGATCATGCTTTCCCTTCAAGGAGCGTAACAGTGTCTTTTGGTTGCACAGTTGCAACTTTGTAATGGCCTATGTGCTGTATACAATAAAGCTCTTACATCCTTGGTTATATTTTTGTTTCATCAAAACAGGAAGTGGCAAGGAAGAAGACATCAATATTTGCTCAGGTGCCCAACAGAGGCATCAAATCCTAGTGCCCCAAATTGTAGTTCTGCCCCCGCAAGCTCCCCACAGAATCACAGAATGAGAGAATAGTAGAGTTGGAAGGGGCCTATAAGGCTTCAAATACTTATACCTGCAGCCCTGTCTTCCTAACCAAGGTTACCACTACAACACCACATGGTCAAGAAGGCAAAATGAGCTTTCTTTTAGAATCTTGTTTTACTATACAAGCGTATTTAAATTTTGGCTGTCCTTTACAATGACGGGCTTAGATGAAGCATAACTACAATCACACACAGGTTTCACACCTCCAAGCACCTACGTATGGCGGTCTCTATCTCAATGAGACTCGGGTGCAACTACGGCTTCTTGAATAAACAGAAAAGGGGCAGCAATTGCAGTGCATCCTTAAAATGCTAACAACTAACCTATTAACCCTGAAAGAGAACCTTGACCTTGAACATTCGCTGTGGCAAAGAATGAGCAGCCTCCGCGGCCCTCCCATAATGGTACAAACATGCATGGAACAAGCAATGACTATGCCATCTGTGTTTTTCTTGTGAAAATGGAACTAAATGAGCTCACCTTTGAGAACAAAACCAGAGTCAGAAATGGTCTTTTTTTGACTTTTCCAGATGTTGAACAGGCGTAAAAATACAGCCACATACAAGTCGTTCAGGACTGCAATGACCTGTTGTCTTCGATTACATTCTCTGTAAGAAGCAAGCACAATGGATTTATTCCCCTAACTTAACAGCTAGAGGGGAAGCAGCTCAACAGGAGTCCCTTCCTGAACACAGCGATATGGGATGCTGCCTTCCTCCAGGGCAGACTACTGGCCCATCTTGCTCAGCACTGCCTACACTAAGTGGCAGTGACAAGCCATTTGGCTGAAACCACTATCTTCTCTCCAAGTATCAGCTTTCCATGCAATAATCGCAGAGAATAAAACACTATTCAAAGGACTAACCGTGCCTCAGTTTCCTTCATTCACATACAACAAAAAGTCAGGATTTCACAGAATCTTAGCTTAGTGTCAACGATTTGTATGCTGATGCATGCAGCCCATCTGCTCCCACCAGGCTCCTTCTGCTAAAGTACCTGCTAAACAAAGCAGGAATGGGTTGCTGAACATGACATGACAGCTGCAGATCCTGGCAAGCTACCCCCAAACAAGACAGGAATCACAACCCAAGGAAAAACTCCGGCTTGCCATTCTGGCTTCTAAAAGACATGGCTAGCAAGGATTCTCGCTTCAGATGACACAGTAAACAAATCTTTCCTAACCACAGCTTAACATCATGCTGGATGCTTATGCATCGGCCTGTATCTGAGAGAAATGCACAAACAGAGGTGAGAACTTGCCAAAATCCCTTCTAGCAGTAAATGCATTTCATATATACAAATTGCAATGTTTTTTACATACATGGTACCTGCAACAAAAGATTGCAATATGGAGAGCAACATTCAGAATCGTAAGCAGCTGGCCACGCCTTCTCCAGGAAGCTCCAACCCATTCCATTCCCCTACCTGTCCCCGCTTACACGCAGATGTGTAAGTATATGTGTAAGTTACTCGTGTGTCCCATGGCCCATTAGACATGCTCACCAGGCTAGTAAGGTGGGAATGGTGTTTCTGCACGCCAAGGGGCTCCTGCAAGCCCACTGACGCCTCCTTCACGCACACACACTGCCCCGCAGAATGAGATCACACTCGCAGAATGAGATCACGTCTCGTATTTGCACATACATGCGTGCAACATTTTAACATCTGGTTGACTCCTGAGAATAACTTTCTGGCTTGAGAAAAAGACAGAAGTCAATCTTGTGATCTCCTTCAGGCAGGGGCCTGGTCAACAGACTGAAGAATTTTTAGCTGATGAATCAGCCTGATTTTTTTACCTGATTAAATTTAAATAAAACTGCACATTTGCAGAACTCAGTAAAGATGCCAGGCCAAAGAGTGGAGAAAAAATGTAACACAGCGTGGAAATGAATAGCAAATAACCTTTATGAGAGGGAAAGGCCGCCTGAACTATTGTCCTTTTCATTCCCTACATAAAAACAAAACGCAGCCTTAATAAGTAAACACAGTGCTGCCTTTAAGCCAAAACTTCACTGATCAAGATTTGCCCATGCTGACTGATCAGATTAACTGAACCGATGGATCTGAGAGTTAAAGTCTGCATCCCCAGCTGTGCTGTGCCATGGAGTCTCTAGGGGTACAAAAAGACCCCCCACAAACTCACCTGGAGAGCCGTTCTTCCCTCAGAACCTGGATTACAATACGAGTGATATTGACAGACATCACACAGAAAGGAAAGTTCTGTAAAGGAAACAGAGGCAGATTTTAGGAAGTGTCTCTTGCTCCACATTAGCCTGGCAAACAACTGACTCAGTCTTCTTTAGCGTGGCACAGTGTAGGTTTGGATAAATATTCTGCCTGAAGAATGGGGCCCTATTTGTCCTGATGTTGCAAATGAGGCAGGTTCAGATACCAAGAGCGTGATACTGAATTCCTTCAACAGATAAGTTGCTTTGCTTTTGCTTATTGTGCTCATAAAACCCCAATTTAACCCGGAGTTTGAGAGACCCATTTTACCTGGGTTTAAGGCACTGTGCCTGCATGCTGTGTTTTAAGAAGGGCCCGGTTCTCACAACTGGCTATCTAAGGTACACAATGCTTAAAAGGAAATTAGACCAAGGCGACTAGTCACCATGGCTTTCCATTCTCTCCGGTATCTCTCAGAACCAATTACCCAGGAACAGGACCAGAATGTCAGGTGCATCAGTCTGGCCCCTGTGAAAGCAGGATGCCGAACCAGGCTGGTTTGTGTCAGCAGGTCTGTTTGTACATTTTCATTAGGACTTAACTGCTGTGTCAGGTATCAACCCAGCAAGTTACGCTTTGCCCACTAGGCTGCAGTACCGGCTGTCCGCTGAGGATTGCAGGGATCCATCCCTGAGCATCTGGCCTGCTAAGGCTTGAGCCTAAGAGCTTGCTCTTTGTCCTGAGTAACTTGACTGAGAGAAGATTCCTGTTCTCCTTGACTGCCTTTGCTCCTTGGTCCTTTGGTATGATTTTATTGCTTATAGGATTCAAGGCAGAAGTAGAGAACTTTAGGCTCCAAGGCCTAACTCGGGCCTCCTCGAGACAAACCCAAATTCCCCATATGATCAAGGCCCTTCCCACAAGCACTGATAATTTGGTTGTTTCACAGCTTTTCTGCAGTTCTTTTCTCCCATTTTAAATGGACAAAATGCTTCTCCTATGGCTAAGCTACTGGCAGTAACAGCTTTAAGCTACAGTGTACTGGACATCCTGCACTGTTGGTCCAACCATTTTGCCTCTGAAGCCACCCCCTTAGCCTTCAGCTCCAGCATCTTTGGATTGCTGTCCTCTACTGCTGTTTCAGAACTGAGCTTGGCCTTCTGGCTGAAAGAGGTTCCACACTACAGATCTATGGGCTGCTCTGCTGCAAACCCTTTGACTTGGCCCACAACAAGAAATGAAGCAACTTGAAATTCAACAAGACTAAAAGCAATGAAAGCATAAATACAGCATGAAGGAAGCTGCAAACGGATCCTTTAAATGCAACCTCTAGTTACACTTGAACTATGTTTTCTGCCTCTCGTCCCTTTGACTTCTGCCTCTGGAACTTGACCCATTCCTTACTCCAGGCTGTGCTAATGCACCCCTTTGGCTGACAAAAGTCGGGTCAGGCTAGAGACAAGTTTATATGGTACTACAAATATTTATAGCTATTCATGACTGTTGAGGCTTTTCTCATGGAGAAAAAGAATGAAGTCAAAGGGAAACAACATGCTGACTTCCTCCGCTAGTGCCAATGCAGATAGCCATGTTGGGGGCCCTGTTGTAATGTCCTTCTCTCGGGCACAGGGGAAGGGTAACAGGAACACTGAAGCTCACATCCTGGCACCCCTAAAGGCAAACCATGCCCTGCCATTTCTTAGAACAAAGCCAGTGGCTTCAAACAATTAGGCCAGGGCATCTTCTCAGGTGGCATCACTCTTCTCAGTGAGCATGCATGCCTTCCGGACTGGTGACCAGCTGGACATATTCACAGTGAAATTTAACTCCCCTAAATATTGATGAACAAGTGTAGTGAAAACCAACTATCTGTGACAGTTAAAGGACTCCTTCTGACACAAAGCGATAAATAGGAAATCTCCTGAGGACCCTTTCCTGGATTGAAGGGAAAAAAAGACTGCACTCTAGTGATCTTTCCAACCATCAGGTGTAATTGAGAATTTTGAAAAAGAAAGCTTTCCCCTGCAAATACTAGGAGATCATGCTAGCAAAATTATTTCTCCTGTAGGTTTGCAAAAACACATTTTAAACACCCAAAATTGAAGGAAATAGGAAACATGCCTGTGTTTCATGATGGGACAGCTTGAAAATCTCTCGAGCTATAGGCAATATCCGAGCATCCATTACAAAATATAGTGTTTGCATTAATCCTAGCAATCCAGTCCCACGTAGGTCTGTGCCAGGATCCATCCCTTAAGAGACAGAGAGAGAGAGAGAGGAATGAGCCAAGACAATAAATGTTCTTTTACAGGTCCTGTTTGTGAGATACTGCTTACTTAAAGTTACATTTGAGAATTCTTAATTGCAAGTCAAACCCACAAAGGCAACACTAAAACTAATGCAACCTGCCGAGAGCTTAATGCTATCCCTTGTGAGCACACAATACAATACATCGTCCCATTACACAGTCAGACCAGATTGCTTCCAGATTTGATAACCAGAGAAAAAGAGCGAGCAGGACAATTTAGCAAAACTTTTTGGCCTATGCTTTACAGCATATGCTCACACAAGAGAGAAGTTTGGACTAAGGTACTGGAAGGACCACTTGAGTCTGGAAGGACCTACCTACTCTTTTTGGATCTTCAGCAGTGGTCTTCCCAACTTCACCAACCTTCTAAGAAACAAGAGACAGCCTTGGGCATGGGATCCTAATGCAGAAAGCTCTCCAAGGAAGACTCTCCTGGGCCTTTCATCTTAACTTTAAATGGCACACTGTCCCAAGCTTTTAATCAAACATATAACATTCAGTCACACTATATTTTATGCTGTTATAGGTGCTGCTTATGCTGTTATCACCAGATTGGTTTTGGGTGACGTTGGCTGACTTTCTGGCCATTCTGCATCAGTTGTTGAATATTCATATTGACCTCGTAAGCTTTTAGAAGCTGGAAAGCAGGCTATCAATTTTTAAAGCAAAGAAAGGAACATTCACATTAAAGAGAACCTCCCCCCCCCCCATCAAATGCTTTTGCTCGTAAACAGTGAAAAGCTCCTTGCAGCAAGGACTTCTGACTCCCAATTATTTAGCAATTTAGCAATTACAGCAAAAAGAAATTACTTCCTTCCTACACACCCCCCAATTCTACTTCTGAAATGGAAGATGCTTGGGATTGCCAGGAATGGACCTTTGTGCATTTAGTTCAGGAACCCAAAATAAACTCCTGGGCTCCCAGTTTTTTTAACTATAAGCATGTTGTCTTTTGCACCTAGCTCCAGTTAGTAAATCTAATGGCTTCAGAAAAGAACAAAGTAGATCCCACAAGCTTGACGTCTACCTACCACCAATGCTATGACAGGTGGGCATAACACCCTATACCTAAAATGGAGAGGAGGAAAAACTTGCAAGCCACCTTGGGTTCCTTGTGAGAAGAAGAAAGGTGGGGTACACATGCTAATACTAATGTTATAACAGCAATATTAACCTAATGTTAATTAACTTTAATGACAATACACCGCCCTTACCAGATCAGCTTGGGCCTGTTCTGAAAAGCTGCTTCCCCCTGCATGGGGACTCAGGATGCCCGCTCCTCAGCCCATTCTCACGCCAGGCGAGAGCTCCGTGGGCTGCAGCATCCAGAGAAACAGCGTTGTGCTGTTACGGCAGGAGAGAAACAACAGGCGGGCTCCTCCCCGCCATCCTCCACAGCAGAGGGTCCAACCCCAGGCCCACACGTGGCCTGCCTGGGGTGCCAATCAGGCCCCGCAGGGCTTTCCCCACAAGTGTGCGACCCCTTCCTCAGCCCCGCCCTTTCCCCCCAACCAGCTCTCATTTGATTGCTTCCAGGCTTTTGTGTAGGTTTCTTCCCCTCACCTCCTCAGGCTAAAGGGCCTCTGCGAAGGCTCAGTTTCCGGCTGGATGTCCTTTCAGCTAAACTGTGCTAGAATTTTTGCCATGCCCCTTCCTGCATACCCGACCCATGACGCATGCAGCCCCCCGTGTTTTTCCCAAAATGTAACTTGACCCTCAAGCTGAAAGGGATCTGATGCCCCTGTTCCACGAATGTTAAATATGCTCTCCCTACAAAATGTGAAGGAGCCTGAATGAGCTGATCTCGCCACTGTGCAAATGGGCACTTGCAGAATCTTATTCGATCTCTGGCCTACCTTGGAATCCCAGATCCTCCCAATGGGCTCCATAACGGGCACAATCAAACCGGGATCCTGTTAATTTCTTGTAGACGGTTTGCAAGATCCGCGTGTGCACTTTTTCATTATTATCCAAGCCACCTGGATAGGGAAATGCCACACAAGAAGGTAAGTGTGTACACTTTGAAGGTGTGAGGCTCAAGGTTCATCTGCAGCATCTCTGTGTAAGATCAAGAGGCAGCACACAGAAAGAAAAACACTCTACTTGAATCCTTAGTAAGTTGCTAGAAGTCAAAGTCAACAGGACGAGCGTGAATGAGTGACTGCTCAGTGTAGCTCTCTGCATCTTTATAGCAGGGGTGCAGAACCTCTGTCCTGGGGACCAAATCCAGAGCTCTGGGATTCCACAAAGGGACATGCCCCCTTTCCCCAACCACTGCTCCTTTTGGGTGGTTTTCTAGACTTCTAAAAAGTGGAAATTCCTTTCCTAAGGCTTTAAGCTAAAATATGCGGATATTCTGGCCTGCCTCCTTGGTCTTCAGCCCTGTCCAACAGCAGTGCACACCTTCTGAGAGCCCCTCCAAAACAGAGCTCGGTCCTCAGGCTAAACGAGGTCCAGCAGCTCTGTGTCTTCACTGGAACGTCTGAAGCTGCTTCTCATTGAGCCAAAGCACTGGTCTATCTTGCCTGTATGGACAGAGCTGCCCAGGGTTTCAGACAGGAGCTTTCCCCAGCCCTCCATGGAGATGACTGAAGCCAGGGCCTTCTGTGTGGAAAGCATGCATGCGGCTGCCGAGCGATGGCCCTTCCCAGACTTTCAAGGCACGGCGATATTAAACAGGCTGCAGTCAAAACACGGGCTGCCAGCTGGCAGTGGAGCTACAGACAATGCTCACCTTGGTCACAGGAAGCAATACTCACACTGGGCTATTGCCAGGGCTAAGTCCCGCTCACTTTGCAACTGCTGATGGAGACGGGGAGGGCCAAAGAGGAAATGGGCAATGGCAGCCAGCCCTCTTCTCTGCACCGTCGGCTGGATTTTTTTCTAGGAGGAGGAATATGAAAATAAACGCAATGGAGGCACAGTCCCGAGCAAGCCTAACGACTAGTGGCCAGAGGGGGGACGACGACGATCACTAGTAGGGCTCTAGGAGTTATGGGAAGGTGTATTTCAGGGTTCTTCCATCATGCCTGAGTGGAAAACAAGCAGGTGGGTGGGTTATTTTGAAAATGCCAGTGCTTCTACAGGTGATCAATTCTGGATCCAGGCTTACATTACTGGGCACACACACACACACACACACACACACACACACACACACAGAGCTATTAAGAGCAAATCATGTTTCAAAGAAGCCTCCTCAAAAGATAATTATCTAGTAATGTCCAGGTTAGAAACAACTGTGTGAGGCTTCTTTGAAAAGTGTCCAGAACCCTCAACTGGTCCAGAACGTGACAACCAGGTTGTTAACTAATACTGAAGTCTCTGGCCTATCCCATTCTGAGGTTAAAAGATCTTCCTTGGCCCAGCTGTGTATCATGGCAAACCACAACTGAGCCTGGGCTATTGAGCATTTCATCCCAGCCAGGATATCTTTGGCAACAAGCCAAAGAAACAGCTGACAGCTTGTTGTAGGGCTGTTCCTCTGGCTTCCTGGGCAAGAGGCAAGCCGCAGTTCCAGGTTCACATGCTGTCCTTAGCCATCCAGCACAGTAACATTTGCTTGTTCCCAAAACCCATGATTTAAAAAAAAGACTTTGGCAGTTAACTGGGCCACTAACTTGCAATTTATTTTTGTATGCAACTCAAGGCACTGGTTCGGAATGGCCTGTTCATGTGGCAGAGCACATACTGTATATGTGCACTTGTCTTTTCAGCCATCGCTCTCCCAAAAGCACCATCCTGCCAAATCTCTCACAACCCTGAAGTCCAGCTTACTGCACAGACCACTTTCCTCCATATGAACCTGTCCTCTAATTGAGTCCATCCTGAGCAGACCTTCACCACGTTCCCCTGCCTTCTGATGTCAGTGGGTTGTTTCCAGAAAGAGGAACTTTTAGCAGTAACATCCAAGCAACCGGTGCCTCATTGCTTTCTTCCAGGGTCTACCCTGGTGCTATTTAGGACCTTTTCCCTGGTTTTAGCTCTGCCTACCTTGCCATTCATTTTTCTGCTCTATCTTTTAAGATATCTCTTGGACATTTTACCTGTTTTTTTCTTAGCTATGATTTATTTTGGAAGCTGGCTTGAGGGTGCTTGTCAAAGGGCAGGGCTTAAATGCCACCGAAAAAGAAAAAAAAATGTACTGTGTTACTCGATGCCAGGTAAGAAGGGTTACCCACATGTAGATATTAATGTGAAAATACTTGCAGTGCAAGTCTCAAGCCCTTGACCTTGCATGCCTGGCTCCACTGAGGCTAATGGCACTAATTCATGTCACGATGCGAAGGCACAATCTAAAAGCGCTTGCAGGTGGCAGTCCGCTGCTGGTAACCGCCAGGCAAGGCTGCCATTGCTTGGTTCAAAGGCAGTCAACAGGGAATGCTAGTTCAACTATCTGGTAACCGCGAACAACCGTGGGCTGCTTCAGAGCATCACCTAAGCCACTGTGTAGGCAACTGGGAATGAATCACACCAAGCCTCAGGCTTACCTGCAACCCCTACACCACCTGTGAGAGGAGGAGAGGGCAGGAGTCTGCTCTCACCTTCAAACAGGGATGCATAACCTGCAACTTGTGGGTGCGAGCGGCTCCCCAAACCCTCTTTCATGCTCCCCCAACAATAATCCACAATTCATTCGTAATGGTGAAAAAGGACACTCTGGGATAGGGATGAACCAGACAGTCCCATGGGAGCTTCTCCATTAGGGCCTTCTTTAAAAGTAACAAAGCGGAATGATCACAAAGTCATTTTCCTATGAAGGAAAGTGACTCTCAGCTTCAAAAGAGGACATGTGTCCACAGTGAAGGGGATTGTTACAGCAAGACCAACGTCTCTTTCCCTTCCTCTCTGAGCTGTTTCACACTCCTGCACCAAAGAAAAAGAAATGCTCACTTCCGGAGGCACAGCAATATAAACACTTGCATGAATACAGGCTTTAGAACACGTGTCCTAGAAGGGCTCAGGCAACACAAGAGGGGCTTGTAGAGAACTGGGAGATTTTTATTCAAGTCTCACTTACACCAGAGGAGATCCATCAGCAAAAGCAAGCAAACAAATTCCTGTGAGAAAGAACGGGCTAAGTGGCAAACGGAAGGGAGGAGGCAGTTCAGAGAGACCAGGACAGCATCTTGCTTGCAGAGAAACTGCAGTCTCAAATATATCCTGAATTTTAAAGCGCGTGTGTATAAATCTAAGTTGCACAGGGCCTGACTGTTGCAAGTTGCAATATGCTGACTCCTACAGCATGAGGCTGGGCCAGAAGGAAATCATGTGCCACAATACCCCTTGCAAGCTGGCAGAAACAAACTTTTCTGCAAACTTCTGCAGTTATGGTTACTTGTTGCCTAGAAGCCGGAGCCACACAGTCTTGCGGGCTTCTCCGACAAAGGTGAGGCAAGAGAGAGAAAGCAGCTGAATCATGGAAATTCCGGTAATCCTAGCTCCCACGATCAAAACGAAATAGGAAGAGGGAGTACTCACTTCCAAAGTGCTCCCAGCACCCAACATGAACTGTCAACACAGCATTTTCAGTGCCTAAAATATTTAAGCAGCGTGCCTATTCAATCAATCCTACTTGGCATGTACATACCCTGCAGTCCGAAAGATCTGCGGTTTGGAAATACTGCAGTGCTTCATTGAACGAGATTAACGGTGTGGGACCAAGAGGCTTCTCCACGATTCCTACGGTCACATACACGTACAAGAGCAAAGGAAAGCACATTTATTTCGCTCATTTTCTTCCCACTGTTCTTCCCGACATGCACATGAGGCGGCTTACGATATTCACTTTATAACTGTTAGGGCATCCAAGCAGCTTATTTGTTCAAATGTCACACTGAATTTGTGTCATTCACTCATACATGACCCAAGGCCAGGGGTGAGCAGCAAAGGCACCAAGTTAAGCCAACTTATGGGTGAAGACTCCAAAAAGTCTCCTCATCATTAGGTGATTGAGCAACGAATCACACATTCCCTGCACAGAGATGCAGGGAAGAGATCCTAGGAATAAGGCAGCGAGTGTACTCAAAATGCCAGCTCAGAGATTAGGGGCAGTGGAAAAGGCCAATGGTACCGGGAAACAGTAATAAACTAATCTTGCCAGGATTATAAATGTCCTTCAAGCTGTCTAGGTGGAATCATAGTGCACAACTGTACGTACAGCTCTGTCCCCCCTCCCCCCAAAAGGGTATTGGAGAGTTAAAACAAATCCATCACAATGATCAGGGGATTAGAGCCACTTTCCAATAAGAGAAGGCCGAAGCGCTTGGGGCTGCTTGGCTTGGCTTGGCAGGGAAGGCTAAGCTAGCTCTGCTGCTAACAGCATGCACGCAATTAACCCTGCATGTTTTTGGTCATGTAAATAGGAGGTTCACATGATTGCTGTGGCTCATTTAAGCCCCAGTGCGTTCTGGTGCAGGTAGGTGGCAATTTTAAATATTTTAAATATTCAAGTTGTGAGGGGGTGGGTTGCCACAGTTAGTTGTGTGCAGGAATTGTGTGCAGGAATTGCGCTAGGGTTAAGCCTTGGATTCGGAAATCCAAAGTTTCCTATGGCCCACCAAGAAACAGTCCAAGGTGCCACGGGAGCAGTCGCTTGCCCTCTCTATCATTCCCGACACGTGTCAAAGGACTGGAACTCCCAGTAGTCCTAGCCAGCACAGCATAGCCAAGTGTGAGGAATTATGGGACAGTTCGACATCTTCAGAAGCTATCCATTCCCAAGCCTTGCCTGACAGTAAGGTAGCGCTAGAATTGTGATGCCGTGCGGAAAATGGGTGCTCTAGGCTTAGATCACAGTCTTTCTGTACTCTTAAATTCAGTATCTTTCTGCCTTTGGGAAGGCAACTAAGTAAAAGTAAACAGTGCAAGGTTTGAGTTGTGGCTTATCTGCGAAATAGGCCCTAGCAAAAAGAGAGAGAGAAAGCAAGGCCAATTCACTCATTCAGCCAGAAAGCGGTACCTGCTAAACAGATCAAAATTAACTTTTGAAAGCTTTTGTTTACCTCTAGCTGGTTGCTCTCTGCCATGACTGCAATGCCATGACTTAGGCATTCACTCCACTGAACCACATTTATTTCTTTGAAAAAAGAAAAGCGGGAGCCAGGTAGAATAAGGCAGTGGCATCTAAATTTCCACTTGGTGGGCAGAGAAAAGTTTTTCCTCCCTCTCTCTTCCAATCAAGTTGAATGCTTGAAGATTCGGGACAGATAAAAGAAAATGCTTCTTTACCGAGTGCACAGCTCAGCTATGAAACTGCCTACTGCAGGATGCAGTGATGGCTATCCACTTAGATGCCCTCAAGAGGGGATTAGGAGGACTCAGGGAGGATAAGGCTATCAGTGACAACAAGTAGCGTTCCAGTTCCAGTTCCGCTAGAATCCACCTCTGAAATGCTCCCATACCTACCAAAGGATCTGCCACGCTTTCGGTAAACCCATCACACTTCCCAATCTGGATCTGGAAGTTCTTGTTATATTTAAGTTTTTATCAACAAATTTTATGTAATTGTCATAATGCTAAGCTTTCTTGTAAAATCTAATCTTCTCTCATCTTTCACCCCCCCCTTAATGCCTAGACCTGTTGCCATTTATTAATTCTGAATCAATAATTCATTCTTGCTCCGTACAAGATCGGAACAGTAAGTTCTTCAGGAGTCGATGGCTGAGGTAGCATATTACTAACCATCCACTTTGATCCACACTATGTACCCTGGAAATGCTGTCCTACAGTACAGCTTGACGGTAAACAATCTGTGGTGGGGAGGCCTTTGCATTGTTCCTGTCCAGCAATACTCGGAATGAACTTTGCTACTGATTGTTCTAAACTGCCCAGAGAGCTTCAGCTATGGGGCAGCATAGAAACGAAGCTAATAATCGTCATCATAATAAAATAGAGAAAAAGAGGAAAGATTCGAGACAGCATGAATTCCAATGCAATTCTTAGGATTTATTAGGCTTTATCCTCTTAATAGGGTGCTGTCTACCCATGCATGGCATTGCTCTCTCATTAAGAAGCGTGTGGTGTTTTTGTGTGCATTATTACAGGGCTCAGCACTGGGATCCTTGCAGCAGCTTCCATTTATTTATTTATTTATTATTTATAAATTTCATTTTTATACCACCCAATAGCCAAGGGCATTCCGTGATTACCTCTACTAAATTCTCCCCGTGCCCACAGCACTCCGTAACAGATCAACAAGAAGCTGTCTAGTTTAAGACAATGCTTGAAGCACTGGGACCACCACTTCGATTTCCAGACTGTATCTTAAGTCTGACACCCACCACACGGCTATTCTTAGGCACACTTCCTGGCTCTATTACCCACCCCAGCAATCCCTTTTCTTGCCACTGCGGCTCCCAGTGCTTAACTGCAGAAGCTGCCCACTCTGTACGTGTAATTCCTGTGCGAAAAGCTCGCATCTGTCAGCCAATCAGCTCCCAGAACTAGTTCATCGAGCTCTGGCTGGTTTGTAAGGCCCTCAACAGCCGAGGAGCAGCTTACCCAGCAGGCCCTCTTCCACAGAGACCAGCTCCGTCCTGACATTCTGACAGGAAGGACTCGCTTAGCCTGCTTCCATGCCCCTGCTGTGGAATGAGCCCTCACCAAGAGCAAACAGGCCTCTCATGTGACACATTTCCCCTGACAATTATGTAAAGACGTTCCTGTTTGTCCAGGCATTTTCCTGGCTGCTACCACTGCCGGGCTGTTGCCTTCTTGTTTGGTTTCGTTCTACTTCATGATGGTTTTACTTCTGAACTTCCGTGGGATTGTTCTTTTTCAGGAAAAGCAGTACGAAACTTTTCTGAAGTAAATTTATTTATAGCTCACCTTTTTCCTTTCAAGAAACTCAAGGAAACATATGGAATCCTCCTCCTCTCAGGTTTATCCTCACAACAACCCTTTGAGGTAGGTCAGCCTGACAATCAGTGACTGTCTCAAACTGAGCTTGGGGCCAGCTGAAGACTAGAACCTGGACCTCCAGATTCCAGCCCAACACTCTGTCCTCGAATGAATGAATGAATGACTGAATAGAATACCTCCCGGCTGGATCTGTGCCACGGCATCCCATTCTTCCCTGGCTCGTAGCACCTCTTCACTAATACCTAGAGAGAGAATAGTTGAAACATGTCAGAGGCAAGCTTTCGGACCCCTTCCAAAAGAACAGTTTTAAGAACACTACAATTTGCTCCTTTAAAAAATGTGCTGCATTCTCCAACAGATAACCAGCTCTATTTTGCTGCTGTGCATTATGGAACAGCTTTCAGAATAATCTGGTACTCTTCATGTATTTTGGACTACAACTCCCAATATGCCTCAGCCAGTTCTGCCAAAGGTCACGGGTGAAGGGAGTCACAGCCCAGCCACAGGTAAGCAGGGACCACTCCACCAGTTTGGCCGAGTACCCAGTCCTGTGTGGCTCCTACTCTCCCTCGGCTATCATCTAGTAGCAGCTATTCCACTAGTTTGCAGCAGAGGGAGAGAAAAAGAGAGGCCTTCCTCTTGGTTAAATGACTCCCGCTGGTTGACTCCTCCCTCCCTCCACTGCAACCTGGCACCATGCATGCCCTCAGGCTGCAGCAGGGGGAGGTCTGGGCAGATTAGTTCTGCTCCATTTGGCTCTCCTTTGATTTTCTCCTTCAAGCTAATCATTGGCAACTTTAAGAACTCATGCTTCAGTCAGCTTCCTGCCTCCCGACGCTTCTCCTTCCCTGTCCCCTTTTCCTTCTTGTGTCATGACTTTTCAATTGTGCACCTATAAGCATGAGCTATAAAGTGCTCTTGGAAACCTTCTTTGGCCAAAGGGTTGGGCAAAAATTCTTAAAATTAATACTGTAAAAGATCTTAAAATGTTAGTGCAAGGACTTCCAAGCATCAGCTATGAAACACTGCCTAGGATCCCCAGTGGACACAACCACACGCAGCAGCAACTACTTTTCTCTTCCTGCTCACGACAAATGGGTTGTCTGACCAACCCAGCAGGAGCAAGAGCTGCCATTTTGCACAAAACCACCAAAAATGTGGGCAGTTGTATGTATCTGTCCTCAGAGGCAGCATCTGCGAGCCAGCAGACAGGGAAGGAACCATTATACTGCTACCCTTGGGTTGTCTCACCGAAGGTATGGCATCCGTTCCATCAATTTGTTGTTGTCAGTTGCAAAGTTGTGCCCAACCCATCGCGACCCCAGGGACAACATTCCTCCACCCAAGCCCACACCCACTGCCCCAGTGACTCGATCCAGCCACCTCATCCCCTGCTGCCCCCTTCTCCTTTTGCCGTCAATCGTTCCCAGCATCAGGATCTTCTCCAGGGAGTTGTTCCTTCTCATTAGGTGGCCAAAGTATTTGAGTTTCATCTTCAGTATCTGGCCTTCTAAAGAGCAATTGCATCAATAGCACCCATCTAATTCATGCAACAGTAACACTTATTTCTTTATATTTAAGATAAATGACATGCCTTTCATGTTCAAAAAGGGATGCATTAAAAAGAAATCATGAACTCATCGTAACACCATAAGTCAGTCACTAAAAATACAGCTTTTACTGGACTGCATCACGAATCAAATAACTGCTTACAAGCATAAGATTCCTGACATGGTGACTGAATGAGGAAGGGGCGGATCTGATTAAGATCACAAGGAGGATGAAGACAAACTTCATTGTGCTTTAAAGGAATAGGACCCTGCCACTGATGGAAGGACAGGTACAGCTTCTTGGGGTCCTACATCACCAGAAAGCAACAGAATCAATTCCAAGAATGAAGGGATGACTGAAAATGTATCAGTTTCAGCTCAGATCCTAAGAGCAAAAACCTGGGGAGTGGGGGGACAGGCAGCAGAGAATGTGAAAATAATTGTTGGTGCACGATATTAATGCATAAGATCCATGAACATGCATGAATCAAACTCTTTCCCCACTCAAAACAGGATTACTTAACTCAACGGGAGAAATGTAAACCATACTGGAAACATGATTTTTAAAAAAATTCAGAGAAAAAGGTATTAGAAGGTGTTCAACAGCTAAGTTATGGAGAGAACAGAGAAGGTGCCGGAATCTTACCTGCTTCTCTGCATCCATTGGCAGTTGCTGACAGAGACTGGAGGAGGCCATTCTGTTTCAAGGCAGAAATCTGAAAGGAGGAGACACCGTCAGAATGCAAAACAGTGTAACAGCCCGTTGGCGGCCCATCGGACAATTTCTGTCAAGGCTAACGTGCTTGAATGACCCCAGCCTGTGACTGGGACTATGTGGTGAAGCTGCTGCCACGGGCCTCAGTCCCTGGAATGCATGCCACGCAATCCACCGACTTCCACGTAGACAACTAACTGATCAGCGGCAGCTGAGGACACAGGCCGGCAGAGAGGAGCCACCGAGCAGGTGAGCCAGCAAATCTGCAGCCGAGTTGTGGAGAACTGGAATCTAACCTCCATCCAAGGACAGTCTGAATAATCCTAGACAAGTCATTATAGCTCGGATGAAGCTATTTCACAAAGTTACTGTGAAGACAGAGTGATGCTTTCTTCACTGTTTATGGTTTGCATTCGGCATTTCCACTGTGTTGTGCAGCATCCAAACAAGCTGGGTTATGGGGCAGTTTAAAGGTATACTTACTTATGTACGTATGTATGTATTTATTAAAAGCTTTTCTATCCCATCCCCTACAGAATGTCACGGGGTGGCTTAAAATAAATAAATAGAACAGAACAGCCCCACAGCATCCGAGCACTAATATACTAAAACCCCAATTAAAATCAAATAAATATTAAAATAATAGGAAAATAAAGAGGATTTTGCCTGACACCAGAAAGAATATAACACTGGCGCCAGTCGAGCCTCTCTGGGGAACGTATTCCATAGTCGGGGTGCCACCGCAGAGAAGGCCCTCCTCCGGGTGCTCTCTCTCCTAATCTCCTTCAGATGTTGGACTGTCACAGGAGGCAGGACCATTTCGGTGTTAGAAGGTCCTTTCCTAGAGAGGGGACTCCCACACGAAAGATGCGGCCTGCTACTTTGGAGACAGCCGATGGCGAGCTGTGCTCTTCGCAGCAATTGTTTCTGTAATGCTGCTCTTTTAGTACCTCTTTAACTGCATTGTCTAGTTCCATTTTTTATTTTTATATATAAAAGGGAAAAAAACAAGGAAAAGGTTACATGAAAAAAGATACCAAGGGACTTTACAGAAAAATTACATATAGCGCTAAGTTCAAGAAATAACACAAAAAGTCAATTATTATTTCTTCTGTCAATGTTATGACTACAATTTTGAGTTAATAATACTTGGCTATTATAATAAAAAAGCTTTTGCATGGGTACCAAGTAAATAATAATTCATCTTATAACATATCTACAAACCCACCAGCAAGTAATTATGTTTTCTTTTTGTCTCAGATAAAGCAATGTCAATATAGTTACATTTGTAAAGCAATTATATTAATTCGATCATTGTGTACATAATAATAGTAACATTCTCACTTGCTGAATAAAGGATATATAATAGGCCCTTTATTTTACATAAAATTCCTTAATCAGACTTCTATATATGTAGCTAATTAGTAAATGTACCAGCTAGGTCACTCTTACATAAATTCTATTTTTTTCTCTGTATTGTTAAGTAAAATATGTATAGTAAGCTTTCCATTTAACATTAATTCTTTGGATGGTCTTCTATTTATCTAGCTGGTTAATTGTGCCATTACGGCATATTCCACTAACTTATTTTTCCTGTCTTCACTAGTTGGGTAACCTTCTGCTTTCCATTTTGTTGCAATAATAACTCCAGCTGCTGTTATGTTTAAATAATTCTTCATATTTCTTGGAATTGTTTTTGGTACAATACTCAATAGCATATCCTTAGCGTTCATAGGAAAGTTCATTTTCAGCATTCCATGCATTTCAGCATGTATTTCTTTCCATTATTTTTACCTTCCTGCACATTCACCACAGACGGTAACAGGTCCTGTTCACTATCCTGCATTTCCAGCACCTCTCATTATAGTTCTCGTCAACTTTCTGAATATCTTTTGGAGCAACATACCAACAAAAGAAATATACTGACAAAATTTATATCTTTCATCCATAAAGTTTCATATTGGCAGAAGGAGATTTTATTCCTCAAAGTTCCATATAATTCTTGGCCGCCTCTAGACACCAATAGATAATTGGTGTCAACAATTTCAGTACAAATCATGAAAAGGGCCTTTACATTGAAAAGTGTTCCACAAAATGATGAACAATTCAATCATTTATAGGTTCATTTACAATCAAATAATTGCAAACAGATGTGCGGGAGCAACAAAAAACCCCTCAACTTACTATCTTGCAGAAACAAATTACCAATATTAATTCACTGCAGACTGAAGTACCTTCATTATTATTTTGCCCACACAGTGTAACCCAGCTGAAATGAGTGCTTTATTTTATGCATTTGCTGCCTCTGATTGTTATAACCAGTTGTGTTGTTTTTACTGCATGCTGGATGAGGACATTTAAATCACAGTTGGCACACCTGCCTGGACCTTTCAGCATCTTCACAGGCCCTCTCCAGGTGACCACTTCAAATGAAGCCAGGCAGGTGCCTACAAGAAAGAGGACCTTCGTGGTAGCGGCTTCCCACTTATGCAATGTCTTCCCCTAGAGGCTTGCCTCCCATCCAGACCAACAATCTCCAGAGGAATTCAACTCCATCCCCAGGCATTACGAAAGAACAACTCCACTGGTTCAGGATGCAGATGCTGATAAATAATAACGTGGTGCCAGGCAAAGGCATTTCCCTCCTCCAGCTGGATGTCAGTCTTTCAAAACAAGTATGCAGAACCTCGTCCAGGCCAAAGACCACATTCTATTTCAGCAAGTATCTAAGGGGCTTCATGCCACTGGTAAGAGGGGTACAGCCAAAGTACCGGCACAATTACCTTGAAGGTCTTACTACCAGTAACAAAGCCTTGGAAAAGGCACTTCAACCTCTAAGAATGGGTAGCATAGTTTGGAACGGCACCAAAGAACAAAAAAGAGAAAAGGATTACTGGTTAGGGAAAACAAGAAGGGACCAGGCCTCTGGGAAAACTCAGGGGGGCCAGACAGAGCCCCCAGACCTGAGTTCTACACCCAGGTTTTAGACATTACTTTTTATGATTTAGATTCGGTCTTAAGAATGCTGGAATAGTTATTTTCATATATTTTATTTCATATTTCCTGCCCAGATTAGTATTGTTTTAATTGTGTATTGTTTATATGTTTTTATTCTTGTATCACATAATCTACCTTTCGTTATTGGGAAAACAGAATAAATAATCAGTAAGGACAGCATAAAACAGTTTTAATAAATAAACAAATATACACATTAAATATAAGGATAGGAATTAAGATAAACTGCAGGGCACAGAGCCAGCTACTTAAATTCTCTGCCACATTTACTCCCCCTACAGTGCACAAAGTACACATGCACAACACTGGTGCCAGACCCCAAAGCAGTCAGAGCACAGGTGGAGAATGCGAGGCTCTCCAAATGCTGCTGGACCACAACTTCTCCCAGTCCTGGCCAGCACAGCCATGGATCGAGGCCAACGGGAGCTCCAGCCCAGCAACATCAGGAGGGCCACAGAGCCCTTACCCCTGGCTTACAGACCAACAAGTGAAACACTCACATGCACGGATTTGTAAACTGGGTAAGTAATCGCTTGTTCTTCATGCTGGCAGTTTTCTGTGCTGCATCGGTTCATCCCCTGATGGAAACAATGAAATCAGAGTCACCAGGGAGCAAATTATCACTGCAGAATCCCAAAGGCACTTGGTTTCCAAGGAGGAACAGAGAACATGGTGAAGCTGCTTGTATAACTGCCTTTGTCCATTGACAACCTCGGTGGGCACCAGTATAGAAGGAATCACATTCCAGAGCTGGAAAGTTGCTGTCTGCTCGTTAATTTCCAGAGTGGCCTTCCCCAACCTGCCACGGTCCAGATCCCATTAATTCCAGGCAGCATGAAAAATAACCCTGCTGGCTGGGGATGATAGGGTTTTGGTTCAAAATATCTCAAGAACAGATTGAGAAAAGTTGGCCTAGGGGTACTTGCTTGTTTAGAGAATCGTGGTGGTGATAGATTTTGGGTATAAGGAAGCGAGATAACAGAGAGGAAGAGGGAGTTTCATATGGGTGGATGAGAAACGCCAAATAAAAGCGGTGTAATTGCTTTATGCTGTATGTAAGAACATCTCATCATGAGAAAGACGCAAGTGCCATGCAAGTGAGGCTGTCCTGGGAAAATACACAAGCTGCTCTAAGTTCTTTGGGGAAAGAAGAAGATGAAAGTTTAAGAAATAAATTCTGCATTTACTAGCTAAATGACATTTAGAAGGCCTTAGATGTCTAAGAAGACATCTTAGAAGACAACTTAGAAACCCCTGCAAAGTAGGTCCATTATATTATTCTCACATTACATATGAAGAGACTGAGGCTCAAAGAGGGTGGCTTGCCTGAAACATGCAGTCAGTTTGGGCCTGAATCTAAACCAGAAATGCTGGCTTTTCTTTATCACTGGCACCACAACACCATACATCATCCTTCCCAAGCTGATGCCCTCCAAAAATGTTGGAGTTCGACTCCCATCCTCCTCAATCAGCATGGCCTGGAGTATGCTAGGAACTGTCATCCAACACATATGGTGCACACCAGCTTGGGACAAGGCTAGGAAAAACTGCAGCTGAATCAGCAAATTTGAAAGGTACATGCCCGTTCTTCAGGTTGCCACCTGATGTCTGTTTCCTAGGGCCTGAGCCTCTCTAACAGCTGCCTTGAAGGACTATTTGGTACAAAGCTGGGATAGCCATTTTAATTCCTTAACTAATCAAACAACCCATCGAAATGCCACCTATTCTGACATGGTTTTTTGTGACTTCAGAGTGCCATGAGCCTTCCTGAAGGGGCAAAAAATGGGGGCCGCTACAAAGCAAGATACTCCCCCTCCCCAGAGCAATAAGGACTACCCACTTGTAGTCTTGGATCAATCAATCATCCCCTCTATTGGACACGGCCAGTACACCTCCTGGCCAATGAGGTCTCCCCAACCTTATTCGATCCAGCACACAGGTTGGGCAGCCCTTAGACACTCCATCAGTCATACAGGTCCACTCATTAACCCACCCAACGCACCTGATAAGGGCTGCCAACTTTGCCCTCCCATTCACACAGCTCCACCCTCCTTCCCCTCAGCCCAGCTAACGAGGGCTGCTCCCCCACCCCTGGTCCTCCTGTTATGCTATCCCGAGCAAGAGGGCTACCCTGCCCCGCTTGCTCTCCTCACCAGGCCAGATCCGTGGGGAGAACCTTCCGCCCTACCCCTGCCCCAAGCCCCATCCACGCCCCCTTCTCCCTCATACACGGATATATATGCACACGCGCGTCTACATATTCCCACACCGGCAGCCTCGCAACACGCCCCCCGTTTTCCCCCACAGGCCCCTTCCCCTCATTTGCTCTCCCCCCGTACCCGAATAACGCACCCAAGGAGGAGTCATCCCCGACAAGCCGGACCGAAGATGAGATTCTTCTCTTACACTCTCCAACCTCCTCCTCTTCCTCCAATCTGTGCTCTGTTGCTAACTCGCCCCCCCCCCGCCGCGCTCCCCGTAACACCCACCTACGCCAACGCGCCTGCGCGTCCCTTTGCATGCCGGGAGTTGTAGTCCTAGCTTCGCATCTGCCGGGGGAATCCGCTGCAAATTCTACCGGCCATGGTTAACGGGTGCGGGTCTGTTCCTTGGAACGGACTTCGGCTGTTAGGCAGTTGGGGTCTCTGGTGTGTTTAAAACTGCGTCTGGGAAAAAGATAGTTCTTGAGAGTGGAGGTTGCAAATACAGCATGAAAGACCTGCAGCCTTGAGCTGGTTTACTCTGGAGTAAATCCCACAGAGTGAAAAGTGGACTTACTCCTATTTCAGAAGCGGGCAGACGTTCAGGAAGCGGTACAGAATCGCAGCAAGGAAAGACTCAGTCCAACGCATGGTTAGACAGGGGGAAAGACGAGAGTCGGAGCCCCGAAACTTTCATTTGGAGCCCCGCAGCTCTGAGATGTCATCTGACCCACGAAGCTGCTGTCCATGAGCACCTGCCGAAATAAAGTGCACCTGATCCGCCTGGATTACCTGGTTCTTCGCCGCACGTACTTAAACGCCTGCTACCCCCACATCTTTCTACCTCATTTTTTCCTGAAATCAAAATGCCCTCCCCTCTGCTGTCCTTAGACCCCTTCCTTCCAGTAGGATCAGTGCTTATCAGCTAAGAGGGCAAAGCTGCATGCAGAGAAAATGCAGCGTGATAAATTTGCTCCAGAGGGGTACACCTGTACGAACTTCCCCTTGCATTATTTATTTTTATTTATTGCTCTCTGACCCACCAGCAGGAGCTGTTCGCCTGGCAGATACTACGGATTAAACCATAAGACACACTGTACAAGATCAGACCAAAGTCCAGCAAGATGTTTTGTGCTCATTTATAGTAGGATATGAAGATCAGAGCTCTTCTGTCCACTGCTGTTTGCCCACCAGCAGTAATTGATATGCAAAACTGCATTTCCTCTGAACTTTTTTCTGTTTATGAGGTACTCAAATTTCCCTGATATCTGTCGGGAGACAAATTCTGCCAAACATGGCCCCTCCAAGAAATTCCTAATACTGCATGTGTTGATGATAATTTCCTCCAACAGAAAGCGGAGGAACAAGAAGATGAACAACTTGATACTAAACAACAGGGAAGACCTACTGGACAGAGACGCAATTGCAGGAACTCTGAAGGAATTTGAATTTGAAATACTTGATTTTTTTATTCTAAAGGAAGGAAAAGCCAAATGCAGTCCAATATGGAAAACTGATTTTTATGGAAAACTCGGCACAACGATGAGCAAAGAAGTCCCATGGCAAGTGGTTCTAATAAAGGGCCAGTTCAGCCATAGCCAGAGTAAAAAAATTACAAAAATATCAGCATCCTTTGTTTGATTCAAGAGTGTGTGTGTGTCTGTCCAAGTCTGCTGCATGAACATTTTTTTACCTGTTCTTAAGTCTGACTTTCCCCATAGAGTCAGGATAGTATGAGAAAATGGCTTATACTAGAGCTGATGATATGTAATGTTATGTGCCGCACATCTCTGACCACCATAACTGTGGGAAGAACCCAATCTGTTGCATCATGCTGAGAACCTAATGCCACCCATTTGAAGAAGGGATCCAGACATAGATTTAATGTAATAATTATAATAAAGATTCCAAAACTGATCAAGGTGGATAATCTAATTGACATGAAAAGGCCTTAGTACAGATCAACAAATTAGCCCTATAATATGAAGCAAAAGCTGGAAGGCCAAACCTGCCTTCTTTAACTTAAAATTGCATCCATTTTTAAAGAATTGTAGGATTCTGTGCATTGATATCTGGCCTGTCTTAAGTGAATCATAGCGTAACTCTTTTTATTCATTTAAGAGTTCATGGGAACACTTTTCATCTGTATCTAGTGAAAGGGTGCAGTCCAATGGGGTACCACTCACCTTCTGAACTCAGAGGACCATGGGCATCCCTGTTGAGGATGGAAGGAATACAGAGATGAAGGTCACCTCCATACTTTTCCCAACCGGCAACTGATTTAGACTGGTGATTTGGGCCATCTAAGCTTTTTTTAAAACTGGTCATGAGGACAGGCTGAGGTGTCACTGGATACAAAGCCAGACTCCTCAGTTCCTCAACCTCCAGCACCGAACAGAGAGGTCCGCCTGGCGCAGTCGTTATTTGTTTTTCGGCGCCAGGCAAAGACCTTTTTATTTAAGCAGTATTTTAAATGTTAATATTATTGAATTTTATCTGGCCAGGGCGGCTTGTTTTATATTGTATGTTTTATTTCGTATATTTGTATTTTAATGTATATATTTTAAAATGTTATTTTAATTTATTGTTGTAAGCCGCCCTGAGGCTTCGGCGAATGGGGCGGCATAAAAATGTTTTAATAAATATAAATAAATAAATAAATAACTATGATAGTGCAAGGGCGGGAGCAGAGCGCTCCAGAGTTTCCTATGGCCAACTAGACTGCATCAACCCGTCCTAGGACCACTCCCTTGTTCTAAGTCATGTCTGAACATTCCACTTTTCCCTCTGTTTTTAATTTTAGTTTTGCTTTGTTGAAATGTGCAATAAACATTAATTGAGCAATTAAAAAGCCCTATCGTATGCCATCACGTACCTGGAAGTAAAGGACTATACGATTGTATTTTTATGTTTTTGTGATATTGTAAGCTACCTTGCAAGGGCAGGATACCCTCAAGACCTGGTTATAAATCTAAAAAATACGGGGAAAGAACATTTTCCCCTATCTGAATCTCCAAACAGGTCCGTTTGTTTTTGCAGCTTTTTATGGTTATTTCCAGCAAATATTGCATGGCAAAAAGGAGAACCAGTGTGATATAGAGGCTGTAGAGGCTTAAGTTCAAACTGTGAAGGTATGTGGAAGAGAGGAGAACACTGGGATCCTTGGTGCAAAGGTGGGGTATAAATATAATTAAAAATATTGATTAATGAACTTCTTAATTTAATACATAATTCTATTACAAAATTACATAAATTTTACTTCACATAATAAATAATGGATAATGGTTTGTTTGTTTCTTTATTTATTTATTAAAAGCTTTTGTATGCCATCCTATTATACAAGATCTCAGGACGGCTTACGATTTTTAAAAGGACAATTCAACAATTTCAGTAATAAAATAGAACAAAACAATAAACCAAACAGAGCGACTAAACTAAAAAACTATTAGAGTTTAAAATACTGTTTAAATAAAAAGGTTTTGGCCTGGCACTGAAAAGAGTATAAACTTGGCGCCATGCGTATCTCTCTGGGGATTCATTCCAGAGTCTGGGTGCCACAGCAGAGAAGGCCCTACTCCGAGTTGATGACCTTTTTACCTCTCTTCCCGGAGTAGGGCTTCTCCCATAGATCTTAAGGGGCATGAGGGCATATAAGGAAGGATATGTTCCTTCAGGTCCCAAGCCTTTAATGATTAAAGGTTAATCATTAATAAATCTGAAAGAATTAGGTGTGCCTAAATTCTGTATAGAATTCAGCTGTCAAACTGCACTTCTAAATATATTTGCTAATAAGAGAGTGCCACTGAAGTAAGTCCTTGCAGTAGGACGATACATCCCATCCAGCAAATTCACAGTTTTGAACGTCTTCCAAAAGAAGCCGCTCTGTCTGTCACTTGCAAAAACGTTCTAAAAGGGCATCCATCAGGACTGCCTCCAAATGGTCACAGGAGGAACTGACACGCCATGTTTTGGCACTGAAAATGTGGTTCCTTTTCATAGTGGAGGAAGGAGAGACTAGATGGGCTGCAGCCTCTAGTGTGTGATGGCAGGGTGGGGGGAATGAACTGCTTACAGGGGATTGCAGTCATGAAAGGACAACCTTCATCCACAGTGCAAATGTTCTATATGTTCAGACATTCTGAACGAACATTATTTTGCGTTGTGAGCCGCCCCGAGGCTTCAGCAAGGGGCGGCATAGAAATGTTTTAATAAATAAATAAACAAACAAACCTTGCATTTTCATGCAACAAGAAATATACCGCTACACCTCAGTCACCTTAATTTGGAAGTCAGTCCCACAGAACTTGGTGAGCATTCCAGTAAACGAATTGCGTCTGCTTCATTTGCACGTTACATTTTAGGGTTCTGCATCCAATGTCTTATGTGCACAGATTTTCAAAATGTAATGATGAAGCAGCTGTGTTTTGAGGACCATAATGAATATATTCATTATGTATTCAGCAATGATACTTGTATTGCATTTAATGAAATTAAGTGCCTAGACGAATAAATACCTTAAAACACTGTTAAAATACACTGGAAGCTGCTTATGTTAAAACACAGTATTAAGAAACTGTTGCAACTAAAATGAATAGAAAGAAACCATAAAATGAAGTGTGCCGTTTTCCATGGTGCTTAACATGTCACTGATCTCAGTGCGCTTCAATCTTTCACCGTGCATCAGGGCTCTCTCTTCTTTTCCCCTTCTCTCCTGTGCATCGCTCAGATCAGCTCTGGAGGGGCCCCCGTCCCTCCGGAGCAGAACTGCAGGTGTGGGGGGAGAAGAGATTTGTTCTGTCAGTTTCCATTCTGTGTGCAGATGGTCATCGTTGGAAAGAACCCAGTGAAACCTCCTTCTAAATTATCATTCATAGGATGGTAACATATGCCGCGTTCCAGCTGTGTTACAAGCAGCAAGCGAGCGCAAGCATAACGTGTCAGCAAGGGAGAGCAGCTGCAGGATCAGGGGAACCCTGGTCAGCGCTCAAGACCCATGCCAAGATCGTTCTGCGCCACAAGCGAGCTAAGCCCCAAATGAGGTGCATTTCGATGCAGGGTTCTGGATGCTGGGGAAGTCTCGTATTTGGACCTGCCCCCCTTCGTGGCTGGAGGGGAGGCGACGGGGCACGTGGGGGCACACTGCAGTTGGGGCCAGTGTGTGGGGCTGCGTCCCACTCACACCACTGCGAGAGCAGGGGGCCAGCAGGGATGGTCGATTTTGAAACACAGGCGCTCATCCGGATGGTCCGCAGAGCCTGACCTGCAACAGAATGGGCAGCAGCATCCACCCATATCCGCCCTCCCTTTTTAGCCATCTTCATCTCCATGGGAAGCAGGCCTTCTTTACTCCTTCATAACCAAACCAGCTCAAAATGGCTTGTTTGACAAGCTATAGATCTGATTTTACATGTAATTACTGCGGCGAGGATTGCATTTGCTCAACACTGGAGGAATGAAGAGCCACCTATTGAAGAGTTGGTCTTAAAAAAGATTTTGGACTGCATGGAAATGGACAGATTGACCTTGTCTCTGAAGGAGAAGGAGGATACATACTTCTATCAAACTTGGAGCTCTTTTTATTATTGGTTAGAGAAACGGGACTATGCGTAGAACTGAATATGGCTACTGATTGTTAAAACGAGTAAGATGTCAACCCAGTTTGTCTGATGTCTTAAATAATTGATGTTTTTAATGTTAGATTGTAACAGAAAATAATAAAATTTATTTTTAAAATGGCTTGTTTGAGAAGAAGCAATATGTTACTGGGAAAATCATTTCCCACCACCACAGGTACTCTGGGGGTTGCACAGCAAATGGGGAATTCTGAGCAGGGGGAAGGCCAGCAAATAAATGTATTTCTTAATTTGTAGTATTTGTATACTACTCCACATCTCAACAGATTCTGAAGCAGTCAACAGTAAAAAAAAGAAAAAAAAAGAAAAAACTGAAGCAGGTAAAAGAATACAAACAATACATTAAAAACGAGGTAACACTAAAACCCTTGCTTGTCTCCTAGAACTGCTTCCAGAACAAGATGTCTTCAGCAATGCCGAAACCAAGGCAGGGTTGGAGCCTGCCTGAGGCAGGGAATTCCAAAGAGCTGCCACACTGACTGCTAGACTCCAGTCCTGCCATGGGTCCATCAGGAGCCACCTGGAGGCTCTCCTCCAAGGGCTTTTGTGACTGGGCAGGCTAGTAAGGGAGAGGGGGATCCTCTCTCAGGAAGCCTGGTCCCAGGCTGCTCAGGGATTTGTACACTAGTACCGGAACCTTAAACCTGACCTGGTAGTGAACAGGTAGCCAGTGCCATTCTCTAAGCTAGGGAACTACATGCTGAAAGAGCATCACGTGACCACAGCATTCCTGCTGATAAAATAGTACTGGAGCTACATCCCCGCAAGCCCTGCTTCCACTACACCATCACTGAAGAGGGACGTAGAAGCTCGGAAAATCAGGTCTCCGAATGGTGCCAATAGCCTCCATGGGTAAAGGAGGCTTCCCACAAAAGAGACTTGCTCTCTGAAAGTGGAGGATGATGAAGATGGAGAGTGTGGCTGGGACTTGTATGTTTATCTTTGCTCTAACCCTGGTGAGACAAAGGACCAAGTCAGACGCTTTCCCTGGAATCAATAATGACAAAAGTGGAGCTGTCCTGCTTTGGGTAAATCATGGGAGGGCAAGACTGCCTGGAGAAGACAATCATACTAGGGAAAGGCGACAGCAGAAGACGAGCAAGGCCAAACGCGGAGCGGGTCGTTTCTAGAAAGGAAGCCACTGCCTTGCGTCTCCAAGGGTTGAACCGAGCTGTCGGGGAGGGCCCTCGTTCGGGGGTCGACTGGACGTCACGCCACAAAAGCGACAAACTGCTCTGAGCACCAAGTCCCCGCCTGCAAGCCGCGGCAGAAGAGGCGCGCCCGCCTGCGTCTTTAAAGGGCAGAGCACTCTGCAGCCTGCCTCCGAGGAGGAGGAGGAGGAGGGCGGAGGCGCGCTGGGGCGGGCGGGCGCCGGGTTGCCCCCCTGCCGGCTCCTCAGTCCCCGCAGCCGCGCTCCGCTGGCGGGCGGGCGAGCAAGCATGTGGGCGCAGCTGCTGCTCCTCGGCGCGGCCCTCGCCCTCGCCGGCCTCTGGGCGTGCTTGGGCAGCCGGAGGGGCTCCCGCAACCCTTTCGTGGCGGATGCGCGGCGGCCGCCTGCGCCTCTGGTGACGGAGAGAGATACGCGGAAAAGGGTCCTCAAGCAAGGTAGAGCCCCGGGCAGGCTGGCGGGGGACGGGCGAGCCGGGCAGGCTGGGCGCCCGCTCTGGGAGCCGGAGCCGGAGCGGGAGGGTGCTGAACGCCCCAACGCGCCCAGAGGCTCGACGGCGCGGGAGCGTCCGTCCGCTTGCACTCGGGTACACCGGCTTCGGCGCCCCCAAGCCCGGCGCTGCGCCCCGACAGGGCTGCGAGAGCCCTGCGGATGCTGGGGCGACGATGCCCGGCGCACCGGACCAGCGCGGTCTGTGGTAGGAGAGCTGCCGGGGGGCGGAGGACCGGGGGGCGGAACGCCGCGCGGTGCGCTCGGACCCTCACCGCGAAGGAGCGCGGGCCAGCGCGCCCAGGCTGCCCAGAAGAGGCGGGGGAGCCGCGTGGGGCGGCCGCCGGCTGCGCGCAAGGGGAAAGACCCCCTGTTGCTGCAGGGGCGAAGTCTCCGGCGGCGGCCACACTCGGAGGAGGCGGGTGCTGCGAAAGAGATAGGGAAGAGCCTCGCCCGCCCCAGCGACGCGCTGCTTACCGGTCCTTCTGGTGCAGCTTCTGCGGGGAAACTCGTCCGTGGGATCGCATATCGTAGGGGTGGGGGACCCAGGTGGCTTTGCCTTCCAGCTGTTGCTTTTTGCCACTGCTTCCTTTCTCGTTGTTTCTTGCCCCTCCTCCTACCAAACATTACAGGAGAAAAGTCAGAAAGTCAGAACAACTGTGCAGTGCCCTTTCGCAGCACTAGGAAGCATGCCTCGGGAAGGCCCCTGCTCCTCACCTCCAAAGTAGGTCCGAGAGAGAAGGGGCTTATCCTGGTTAAACGTAGCAGTGCCTGAAAAGTGCCCTGTGCAGCAGGTATTTCCTAAACCATACTTCTCATCTGTTGCCCCTCCAAATTAAGTGGGAATATAACCAGAGGGCAAGATATCTGTCGATGCATATATAAGGGAGAAATACCGCATCACTGGAGTTGTCAGATCTCCTTGCCCACCAAATGATACCCAGATACTTAAATTTAACAATCAAGTCAAGATCTATGACACATTATGAGAGCTTTTCAGTCTCTCCTCTTCTTGTCCAAAAAATGCTTGGGCATTGCAAACTGATTATGTGTCTTGTGGAAACCCAGCCCTGAAAACAGGAAAGTTTTACAGCTCTTCCAGAAAGCATTTAGGTTTCAATTGTTATGGCTTTCTGGGGAGAAGGGATCTGTGAGACAGTCCCAGAGAAGGACATGCCTGCGCCCATCCTTGGAGTTTAGACTTGGCATATGGATAGTGCATTTCAGAAGATGTGCTCAGCTGAGTTTAAAATGCAATGGTGCGAAGGGGAGGAGAGCTAACATTAAGAATTTTATACATCCAAAAAAGGTAACCGGATGTCACAGTAGATGCACTTCCAGTGGACTTCCTTTTAGACAGTTCCATGGTTTTTTTCCTGCAAAGAGTACTTTAAAGCATCTCATTGCTTCTGCAAAACGAATAACCAAGTGTGTGCTCCATCATTTCCTCTCCCCTCCTATTATGTGGGGGGGGGGGGACTTCAAGAAGCCAAGGAACTACAGACACCCCCCATCATGGACTGTACCCATGTGGATGCCAAAAACCGGGTGCAAGTGATGAAATGCGGTGCCCATAGTAGTGCCGAAGATCAAAACAGTCAAACTGAGCTTGGAAGCAAGCTAAATTTGCCCCATTTGGTAGCGCACAGCAGCTCCAGATACCCTTTTTATTTGCACACAAAATACTTTTACTACACAAGGGATTCCAGTCCCCCACTTTTTAGGACTGAGGATCCTTCCGGGAGGCTAAAGTGGCAGCATATGTCCTGCGGGCTGCATAGGGCCATCCCAGACCTATTTTAAGCACAAATCCTGGACATTCTGCTGATTTCCCGAAACTAATATGGTGCAAAGTTTCTTGTGTCTCCAAAACTTTCCTTCTGCATGTTACTGCCTCTCCTCCTGCTCTACCACGTCTCGGCTGATTGCAAAGTCCTACCACTTCTCTCTGCAACATCTAGTCTGTTTTGCAGCTATCGCTGAAAATCTTTGCCCATGTTCTGATAGTCTTTCTTGATTATTAGAGCTGCTTTGTTATTTCTTTCCTCTCCGGTTAATAGCCACATTCACACATGACAATAAGCCAGGATTGCTGGCTTATCCTGGTTTACTGTGAATGGGAAGCAAGCTTGGGTATGCAGCCCTTCTCTTCCTGTGTTGCACAAGCAAGTAAAACAATCCACAATTTTTTTTATTTTTTTATTAATTTTATTTTCGATTTATATCCTGCCTTTTTCCTACAAAGGGCTCAAGGCAGCTTACATCTCCTCCTCCATCTTATGGAAAACTTCACGAGTTTTGGTTTGTTGCTCCAAACCAAGCCAAATTTTGTAATCCTACCATTAACATGCTTTCCTCCTGCTTTGTCTGGGACCACAAACCAAGAACCCAGGTGCAGACAGTACACAAAGCCTTCAGTTTCTCATACAAAGTGAGAATGTGCCACTTGCCATAAACCAGTAAGGCAACAACTCTGGCCATGTTTGTGTATAATGATAAGCTAATATGTCATGTAAAATCATATAACGGTCTGTGATTTGGACAGCTGAAAAGGAATGCTAATCAAACAGCCTTGTGTTTGAGCATTAGCCTGATCACCACAGGCGACCTGGAACTGCATACAGGTGAGTGTGCGGAATGTGATGTAGGTGAGGGAAGGAGAGAGAGAGAGAGAGTGCACTGCATCACTTCCCTGCACCTAGCATGGAAACCTTAGAGCTGCTAGAGAAGAGAAGCTGCCCTCTCCATGCCCAGCATAGAACTATCTCCATTTCTGCTGTGCTAACCCCCACCAGGCTAGTAAGAAAACTGTGCAGGCTGGTAGCTTTCGTGCTTTATTCAGAAGGCTGTGCTAGAGGTCTCTGGAAGAGTTTTAATTTGCCAGCAGGGAGGACCATATCAAAGCTACCTGGGCCTCCATCCAGTGAGAGGGTCTCTTTCAGAGATTTACTTGAAATGAGCTGGGATCAGGCAGGGATATTGCAGAAGCTGCCTGCAGCTTCTGTTCCACTGTGGACAATAAATGCCCAGCAGATTGTGCCTTCCACCAGCAAAACCCAAACATGACCTTTTTCCTTCCTCCTCAAAGTTCTCTGATGAAAAGAAGTTTGCTTGCATCACCTCAGTTTGGACTCAGGTTCTAAAATCTTTCTCCCCCAAGTGAAGAATATTCATAATCTTCCCCAAGGGCTGCTTTAGGTCTCTGATCTGTTCTAGCAGAACTCAGAGTTCCTGCACATAATCTAATTTTGGATATGATGCAGCACATTAGGATAACCAGCAGGAAGAGGAGATTGGAAGGGGAGAGGAGAGGGATTACAGCAACAGGATTACATTGGCGGTTGGGGGTCAGGGACGTGGGGGCTGAGAAAGGGCAGAGATTAGACTTGCCAGATTATGTGGCTGTTCAGTTCTTTGGCTACCGGATCATCACTAACCCAGCTGTGTTGGTCTGGCAAAAGTGGAAACTGGTCCTGCATGTCTTGCTCCTGTCTTACAGGCTTCTCCAGGAAGAAAATTCCCGACGGTTTGGATGCTGTCATTATTGGCAGTGGCTATGGGGGGCTGGCAGCTGCTGTGATCCTCTCGAAAGCTGGGAAGCGGGTGCTGGTGCTGGAGCAGCATGGAAAGGCAGGAGGCTGCTGCCACACCTTCAGCGAGAGGGGCTTCGAGTTTGACGTAGGTAAGAGCAAACCAGGCAGGCCAGAAGCAGATCCAATCCATCGAGAGTTTATCTTTGTAATACCCATATAAAACACACACACGTGTCTGGACACGGGCGCACACACCTGTCCATGCATACTAGTAGATGTCCATGTACGCACACAACCGTATGCTTGTAAACGCACACACAGACTTGGAAATACACGTGCTTGATAGCGCACTGTGGGTTCCCTTCCAGGAATCCATTACATAGGACAGATGCAGGAGGGCTCTTCTCTACGCATGATGATTGACCAGCTCACAGATGGACAGCTCCAGTGGGCCAAGATGGACTCTCCCTTTGATGTGGTAATTTTTGGAGACCAGGAAAGCAACAGGCGGTACTTTCTGTACAGTGGAGAGAAGGAATATGTTGAAGGCCTCAAGAGACAATTCCCTGGAGAAGATGCAAACATCGATGGATTTGTGACCCTTATAAAGGTGACCTCTTTAGAATTACGAGGACTGATTGATTATATTTATACTATACTGGTTACTTATTGATTATATTAGGAGAGCAGGCCCCATGCTGTGGAGCAACCATAAGATTCTTTTGATTCCCAGCTCAGTTTCTACCCCCCACGCATGAACAGGCAGAAGCCGGCATGGAAAGGACTGTGCCAGCTGCTTCTCGGAGACTGTAAGGCAACCTCGGAGAAGGCTGTGGCACCGCAATATGTGGCGCTGGCAGCACCTCAGGCTCCTTTCCTCCCCCTCCAAAGTGCTGCACTTAGAAGACTGACATCGGACATCCTGCTGCTCTGCAGGGTGCTTCTTCTCAATCCACACAGGCTTCCAAGCTTGGATGGTTACAATAATTCCCAGTTAGTTGCCCCCTAAATCACTTTGGGGTTTTGTGTGTGCTCAAAAAACAAAAACAAAACCCCGGGGTTGGGATTAGGAATTGAAGTCTAACATCAAGTGCAGCAGACTCAGATTACCCAGTTCTGCCTAGTATAGCAACAGCTTTCCTCTAGCTACCAAACACCAATGCCAAGATCCCCTCCCAGCCCTTCCACTTCTAATGCTGTGGTCATTTTTGCCACATCGATGATATGCGTGCTGATATCTTTCTCTCTCCTTTCTTTCCCCGGCCTTGCCCACTGCAGAGAGTTGCCAAAGGAAGTGCCCACATTGCTGTTCTGAAAATGCTCCCGATGCCCTTGGTCAAGTTTCTGCACTGCAGTGGCCTGCTGGCTTTGATCTCACCTTTCTTTCGGATGGTATCCAAAAGTGTTTCAGACGTGGTCTCCGAGCTCACTACCAATGCAGAGCTAAGAGCAGTGTTCAGTTACATCTTCCCTACCCATGGTACGTGATGCTATCCCAGGTCACCTGAATGGAGCATGAGATGCTTATCTTGGACACCTTGGGGTCACTGAGAGAGGGGCTAAAGCACATTCCTCCCCATCAGGATCTCTGCCACCATTAATGGTGCAGAAGCTGCAGCTGTGGTTGCCTTCTGTGGGTTATGGAGGGAGGGGACATCTAAAGTTTCCTGCCCAGGATCTCAACTGGATTGTTTCCCTGATGCTGCTAAAAGCAGCACCCAGAACAGCAGCCTCTCTCCAGTCCAGCTGGGTCACATGGAGAGCAGCTGAGGGCCATGCATGCCCCTGGACTGCCCAGCTGAGTGTTTAACGCAGGCCTCTAAGATTTAATTTAAATGTCTCAACAAAGCTCTCAGGGTTGTGTAGAACTAGCATGATAAACAATTGGTTTAAAAGCACTGTTAGAGTCAGTTCAGATGTGAATTCTACTGAACAAAAACTAATTCTGCATAGTAGAAGGCATAGCTTGTCAAACTGAAAACCAGCATCAGGATCATAAACTCACCCCATTCCTTTGCAGGCTGGGTTCACCCTTGCTGCCCTGCTCAGCTGAAAGCTGTTTCCTCTCCTCTCAATATCAATATCAGTTTATTAATGTTCATTAAGACAGGGATGCCAGAAGAGAAGTCTCCAGATGTTTTGCACCTCAGATGCCCCTGCCACCAGTGGCCAATTGTCAGGACTTCTGGGAGCTGATCTCCAGACTTCTGGAGATCAATTTCTAGCCCACCCTGTAAGGTGGTTTAAGCTAACTGGGATAGAAATACAGAAACCACTGAGCAGGGTAAGGGCTGACCATACAAGTCCTATGCTCCTCTTTGGCTTCATAAACTTTGACATTCTGACAAACAGAAGAACAGAACAGAGTAAATACTTAAACTAAAACTTCAAGAAACAAGTTTGAAGCCAAGGCAGCAACATCAGCCTTGGCACCAGATGAGCCTCTCTGGGAAGACCCTTCCAAGAAAGAAAGACAGACAGACTGAAAGAGAAAACTTCTCACTAAATTTCTAACGGTAAAAGAAGAAAGAGGAGAACCTCAGGTGATTAATGGAATGTTCAGGCAAGCAAATAACCCCCCCCCCCAGCTGCAAACAACCGACATAGGTAGCTGCAGTCAACCACATCTTTTGGATGGAAAGGTGTGCCCTAGTATCTATTTATTTTTATCAGTGACTTGTTTTCATTCCTGCTTTAAATGAGTCATGTTCTCCAGCCATGTGGACTTTCCCTATCCAGGCCCTGGTTGGAATGAACCTTAGCAAGAAAAAGGGTATTTTAGCTAAAGCGCATTATAATTCTCGCTTTCCATTTTTGGGAATGCCATGGGCAGGACATTTTGGCAAGCTTTCATTCATATGGTTGCCCTGAGCTGGAGATGACTCAACAGCACACAACGACGACAACCACAAATCTCCCTTCCTCTCTGTCTCTTATAGGAGCGTTTCCTGCCCAGTCTAGCTTCCCTTTGCATGCAGTCCTTGTGGATCACTTCTTGGAAGGTGGGTGGTATCCTCAGGGAGGTGCCAGTGAAATTGCATTTCATTCCATCCCCATCATTGAACGGGCTGGAGGAGCAGTCCTGACCAAGGCCCCCGTGCAGAACATCTTGGTGAATTCTCAAGGAAAAGCCTATGGTAAGATCAACCGGGTCCAGCCTCTCTCTTGCTCCCACCCAACTCCACCCCTCACATGGAGAATTGCTGTTGACATAGTGACCAAGAGAGCGAGCTATGAACAAAATAATAATAGTAATAATCCCTGGTTCCTAAATAACAGGGACAGGGAACCTCAGACCCTCCAGATGTTCTTAGACTTCAGCTCAAAGGAGAAGGATTACTGGAAAAAGTCCTGCCTGAAACCCTGGAGAGCCACAAACATGAAAAATGCATCCTCATCCAAGCATACATTCCAGACACACACTTCCACTCCCACAGGACACAACATGAAATACCAGAACATATAGGCCAGAACATGCATTTTTGCAAGTGCATATTTTTAAATATGAATGAAAAACTGGGAAATGTTTTTTAAATCTCAAGAATTGTGCTTCTGCCTGCAAATGGGAGCATGTTTGCATGTTTTGCAAACAAGAATGAGTACCTTGTACATTCTTAAAGAGGCGTTCTAAAGCAAAAGGAACAACCCCTATCCCCAGATCCTTTTCAAACCAGTTCAGGCATGTACTACAACAGGCATGAGAGAGCGGCGTTCCCCCAGCACTTCTCACACATGAGGGAATTGCTCTTGAGATGGCCCCTACTCTTCACCTATTTTATTAGTACTTGAATTAGCCCTGATTACCAAGTTTGAAGAACGCTGCTTGCTAATCGTATAGTTGGGCCTCTGGATATTAAAACATGTATTAATGGATGCATCTAATCAGTTCAGCGTAGCAGCCTCAGATCCTAAGGAAGGGGTCCACCTGTAGCTTCTTTGGGCATCTCTTAAGTCCTTGGCCTGGTTCACACCTTGCTGTCAGCCAGGGGTCTGAGGAGCCCTGGCTTATCGAGATGGGGGGGCATACTGGTGCGTGTGGCCTGAATGTCCCACTGGCTCCTCCTGCAAGTGGAAGTGGTTGACCGAACCACGGACCTTCTGCCTATGCCTTCATTAAACCGGCATCTGAGCCAGGGCCTCTCTGCCTCTCTCTGAACAAGTCAGAGTCACAAGGCTCCATTCATTTCTGATGCTGCCCTGTTGAGGAGCGGCCAGCCTGAGTTCCCAGTGTGGACCTCCAGATATACTAACCAGGGGGAGATAAACTAACGGGGGCAGGGGGGCATAGTTAGTTCAGGAACTCCTCCTGCAAGAGGAGCCAGGCAGGAGCAATTGGTGCTTGCAAACGTTAAATTTGGTTTATTACCGCATCTGAGCAGGACTGGGACAGGAACTTGCCCGGCTTGCTTTCTGGCAGCAGCTGGATGTGGAACAAGGATCCTGTGGAAGTGGGAGCTGCAGTTGCCACCTTTCCTTCCCGTGGTGTGTGCTTTGCACAGTGCATTTAACTAGAAAAATGTGCACCACTTTATCCTCTTTCTTTGGATGGGATTTGGGTATATCGGTGAGCCTGTCCGGAAGGGAAGGGAAGGGAAGGGTGCATATTCCTGAGAAGCAAGGGAAAAAACAGTCCCCCTGAGCTCTTCCTACCCACATGAAATTTCCTTGAAGGTGTTTAAGCGGCTTATCTGCTTAAACCCTCCCATTAATTACTCTGAGCCACTGTTGCCCATAGAGGGATTGTCTGCAGTATGGACTGCTACACCATCTCCCTCCCGTTGCCCCCTCTACTCTGCAAATGCGGATGCTAATATCCTCCTACCTGCTGCCATTGCTGTGAGGATCATGCCGCTCCTTTGCACTCCACGCCAAACACATAAAAACCTAAGCCCCACGCGCACCGCAGACTCGACCATTCAGCACCATTCATTTTTACTTGGCAATAATCCCCAGGAAAGCAATTTTGCAGTAATCTGAATAGGAATGTTCCGAGGTCTTAATACTAAACCTGGGCCTTGTTTCTGCCTCTCCCCAGGGGTGAGCGTAAAGAAAGGCCAAGACACTGTTAACATCTATGCTCCAGTTGTGATTTCTGATGCCGGCATCTTTAACACCTACGAGCGGCTCTTGCCAGCAAAATGGCAAGCCCTGACAGGTAAGAGGCCACGGAGCTCCTGGTGCTTCTCCTGCGGGGGCTTTGCAAGCATCACACATGTGTCAGAAGCCCTGCAGTTTTCAGGATCATGGGAGCTGTGCAACCTTTTCACTGCCTAGACAGGCATGAGCGCGCCCTGTAAGCCGCACATCATGTCATGAGAATCATGCCTTTAGAACTAAATAGGGACTGGTTTTGAGGACATAAGTGATAAAGATACACAACCCCCATGGGCAATCTGGTCCTGTGATGTCACCTGCGCATAATTTTTTGTGCTGTTCTCAGAACGGAGAGTGGCCAATAAACTTTGTTTTTATCAGAGTGTATTTGTGTCAGAAGTCTAGTTCCCTCCATAAAGACTGGCCTTCCCCAAACCAGACCCCTCTAAATGCGAAGAAGAAAAGCTATTTTTGCTTCTGCTATGAATGGGAAGACAGACTGGGCAACACTGATATATAAAGGTTGGGAAAGACTGACCTATAAACTAATCCAGCTGGTTAGTTCTCCTCCCCTTGCCCCTCCGCAAAGCAACAAATATCTTTTAGAGCAGCCTCCGGAGTCCTTGTCAGAACTGTCAGCCCTTGTGCATGGTCGCCATCCCTTCTGAAAATGTGGATGCTGAGAAAAAGATCCTCACGACAGCCTTGGGTGCAGATGGCACAGGCGGTGGGAGATCTCCCAATGTTTGCATTCACTTTAGAACTGCCTCGAGAGAACTCCAGCCTGGACCGGAGCAGCTGCAAGGAGGGGGAAAGGCGCCCGTCCTCCCTTCTCTGTGCTGTTTTCCCTAATCTAAATTACTTTGCCCCATTTAGTGGAAAGAATGCGGGGGGGGGAGGGTTTTTTTTCCTGTTGCTTAGTTAATAGCTCTGGTGAGTGCATGTGAGAGAGAGAGGGAGCCGGAGAGATGGAAAGGGGTGTTATATTGGATGAACACGGCTGGACACATGGTTTCCATTCTAATCCCTCAGCACCATGGCCCCGTTCCAAAACTGAGGGGTGGGGGGCAAGAAAATATAGCACCTCTTTTGTTTTTCTGTCCTCAGATCAATGCATACTGTACTATAGGCATTTCTGTGCAAGAATTACACCACTGCTGAAGGCGAAAATAATGCCACAGCACCTAATCCCACTGACTATTCCTCTTACTTACATAGGCGGGGCACATGTTAGCCTTCTTAGCTATGGGATTGTGCTAGGAGCTCTTATCTTATGACAATCCTATGGCCCACGTTTCTTTTCTGTGTCACTGCATCCTCCAGGCAGGCCCCTGTGGCCTATATTCTTCCCGTGTACATTCTCTCCTTCCAAGAATTAAGAGCTTGCACAGACGGAAATGCTTCTCTGGATGTAAGCCCATTCTACAGAGTGATCCAGATTGCACTGAAGAATTGCATTATATAGGCCAATAGCTTACTATTTTTGTTTATGGGTATCCCCCCCTGCCCAATATGTACTTTAAAAATAATTTTAAATAGAGAACAGAGTTTCCTGTAATATAAAGTCAAAATAAGTTGCAGGGTGTACATTTTTCTCCCGAAAATGAGTGCCTCCAATGGAGGGGTCCCAGTAATATCTGAGAGTTTTCTGCAGGCTCTGGGTTCTGGTCCCTGCATAAGCATGACCCTTGCATAGGGCCCCCCCGCCCCCCATCACTTGTAAAATCTTAGCCCGGTTGGGTTGAAAGGCTTAACAATTCTTAAGCATTACAAGGAGGAGCTTCCCATCTTGCATGCTCGACACACACACAGGCAGTTGGAAGCAGGGGTAGGCAGACTTCTGGCTTGCTGGATCAGATGGAAGGGATAAAAATGCTAGTGCTATGGATAAATCATCCTTTCCCATGAAACAGAAGCTGGATTCCACCCCAATTTGCAATTTCACATCATTTCTGCAAATTGGATGATCTAGGTTACAGGCCAGGATCAACCGACGGGTCTCAAGGTGATTGGCAGCACCCCCGTGGTGTTCTAACTCCCAATTTCCTATCAGTGATAATAAATCTGTTAGTTCAGATCTCTAACCATGCAACCACACCCCAAAGTGGTTTCTTTAATTCTAAACAAAGATGATCTCCATTATCTGTGGAGGATGCCAGGGCTCCTGCCCTCAGGCATGGTCTGAAGGTACCTTTCAGAACCAGCTAGCTGGCTGAAGCTGAAGGGGAATGTGTGTGTTCATTGATGGATGGGAAGCCACCTGGGATGACATATGCTATCTTGAATTCAGGGGGGACACAGAAGTACTAACTTAATCCCAGGGGCAAAAGGGAGTCCAGGCAAGACTTCCCGGTGCCTTTCTTGGGTGCCCTCTATTGTTCTTTGCCGTACTCTATTAGCTAATAGGAAACTTTCTGCATACACATGCAATTGCTTGCATGGTATGTGCCAGTGGCAAAATCCATCCCTTCTAGGTGTGCAGATCTAACTAAAGGAGAAAAACATCCAAATGTTTTACACCCACATGATCAGTACTGCTTAAGAGGACTTAATTCTCCTGGACTGTTTTTCTTGGCACAGCCAGCCAAGGTGAAGAGTTGAAGCAGGAGGCCGAGTGGGAGGCCCAGTGAACTCCTGTGAGCTCCTGACCTTAAGACATGTTCACTTTTTACCATTTAAGAGGAGATGATAGGAAAACATGAACTCCTTTGACCCTTTGATTCTGTGATTAACCTTTAGCAGGAGATTACGGGCCTCTCCTGCAAAACCATTTACCTTTTGCTAACCTCCCTTTTCTGATCGCTACTCTGCCTTTCCCAAGGGTGGGGAAAGGTATGACTCATTCAGATGAAGTGCCTCCTCTAAATTATGTGAAGAAGAGAGTGATCTGGAAGGGCGAATCCATCTGAATACTCTGCGATCACTTGGAGGCCTTCATGAAATAAATTGGAATAAATTGGACATTGGATTAAATAGAGAGTGCAGAAGTTTAGGCCTGGGACCAAACCTTGCCTCCTGGGATCTGTGTTTGCTCCTCTGGGATTCTCCCCAAAATATGGGATGTTGGTTCAGGCAGACATTACTGCAGCGTTCATCCATAACTGAGGACCAGGTTTCTATTTCACATGCTATCCAGAAACTTTTGTATACCTCCCTTTTGCTTTTTGGGAGTAATGGGCAATGCTATTGTTCAATTCCCAAACAAAATAATAAGTTTGTGGCAATTTCCCCTTAGATACAAAGCAAAGTGCTGCACTGGCTTGGTTCTTTTTATGAAACTAGAGGGACCAGCTAAACGAATACATCTGACAAATGTATCAGATTTATCTTATGCATCAAATTTATCTTATGTTGTGAGCCGCCCCGAGGCTTCGGCGAATGGGGTGGCATAGAAATGTTTTAATAAATGAAATGAAATGAAATGAAATGAAATGAAATATTCACTTGTTTTCTCTTTTGATGTGTTTACCATTAGATTTTTCTCTTCACAAGTAGCTGGTGCAGAATTTGATTTTTGACAATGAAAAATAGAAAAAATAATTGAGTCGCCTTTTTAAAAATAACATTCAGAAACTCAAATGGATAATCTATTTTGGATCATTCATAACTGTCCAGAAGAAACACATTTCTCATGTCCTTGTTAGCTATCCAGTTTCTAAGAAGTCACAGTCCAGACTTTTGTTTTCATCCAGAGAAAGCAGAATCCTCCTCTTCCAAAATGTGGGCATATCAGTCAAACGAAAGCCCTCACATGCTTACACTACAGTAAATAAAAAGATGGTTCTGAGCAACCTGTGACACGATTAGCATAGTATGCAGTTTGGCTCTAAAAAGAAGGAAAGATTGGTGACTGGGATGGTGCAATTTCGTGTCCTGCAACAGCGGGGGGGGGGGGGGGGTTGGACCCAATGGCCCCTTCCAACTCTTACTATTCTATGATTCCAAGAATAAAGGGGAGAAGGCAGGATGGGAGGAAAGTTCCCCAGAGAGGTCCCCAGAGAGGAAAGTTCCCCAGAGAGGTCCGCCTGGTGCCGTCGTTATTTGTTTTTCAGTGCCAGGTGAAGGCCTTTTTATTCAAATGTTATTTTAATTGTTAATATTATTTATTTATTTATTGGCCAGGTCAACTCAAATTATATTGTTTTTTATGTTGTGTTTATTCTTGTGAGCCGCCCCAAGGCTTCGGCGAATGGGGTGGCATAGAAGCTTTCTAAATAAATAAGTAAGTTACCATATTGCTGTTGCTTTGAATAAATAGTCAACGAAGCATTTCAGACAGGCATCCCGTATTATCTTAAATGTATATAATGCATTCCTTCAGATATGTAGTGTACATTGTTAGGCTGCAGCTGCAGGATTCCAGATGTTTTGCCCCGCCAGCATGGCCAGTGGTCAGGGATAAAGGGATGTTCCACATCCCTGACTTCCTCCCCAACTCTTTCAGATTGAGCAAAGAGTTTAACATCCAAGCCTCTAATACTATCGCATAGCAAATAAATCTGCTCACTGAATTTGAGAGAGGTGTACAGTATTTGGGGCACATAGATTGTTTGACTTGATGCTTTGGATTGGTCCAGCTTGTCTGTCTAGCCTAGAAGATTATTGTGTTTGGCTTCCCCATTTTACTTGTAGAACTTTTACTTCTGGGACCAACCTACGTACAGAGTCTCTCTCTTTTCTTGCATCCCATTGTTTCTGTGTGGCAGAGATTCAGAACCAGCTCTCCATGGTGCATCATGGCATTGCGGGATTCAGTCTCTTCATAGGACTCAAGGGGTCCAAGGAAGAGCTGGGACTAGAAGCCAAGAACTACTTCATCTACCGGCACAACGACCTGGATGAAGCGTAAGTCAGAGCTTTGTTGCCGTAGATGAGAAATTTGTACTTTTTACATTTGTCCTTTAGGAGCATACAAGGCTGTGTGGTCCATTGAAGTCACTTGCAGATGTGTCCGAAGTGATCCTTACATGGGCCCATGTCAGCAAAACTTTGGGAAATGTTGGGGTATAGTTAGCATAATTAGGGGAGGAGGAGCACTCTCTCTCTCTCACTCTGGTCACATGTAGAATAGCCACCTTGGCATTGCCAAAAATTATCAATAAAGGGGATGCAAATTTGCATAAACTGCATAAAATCACTCAACACTGTGAGGGTGGAAAATATTTTTATGGTGGCACAAAGCTAAAGTCAGCCATCTTCCCCAACAGGGTACCTTTCGAATATTTAGGACCAGAACTCCCAAAATCCCAGATGCCCCCAAAAATCTGGAGGGCATCCAAGTTGGAGAAGGCTGTAACAGTGCTGTCTGGGTTGAAAGAGTTTTGGGCACAGTCCCGGGCAGTTCTAGGTATTTATTTATTTATTTATTTATAGTCTATTTATTTAAAGTTTTTATATGCTGGACCCTTGCTCTATTGCCTCGGGACGGCTCACAAAGGAAAGGTCCACTGGAAAGGTCTGACCCACCAGACAAAAGAACACACGGATTTTCACATGCTAATGTGTGTGCATTAATGTATCTCTGAGTGTGTTTTTATAGAATACTGCCTCCAAAGGGCATTCCTATTTGTAAAGAGGGATATGAACAGAGGAGACAGTGGCATACGATTTCATAAAATAAAAACTAAAGCAGAAAGATCTGGGGGAGCAGCAGCAGGAGATGGGCAAAAAGCCAGCCAATTGAGGGGGATTACATGCAACAGCCATAAGCACAGACCTGGTAAGTGCCCATGGAAAGGCACCCCAAAGATCCCGGACTCCAAATGAAACATTTGGGGCTCGGACCCCTAGCAGGCCAGCCTCCACCATCACCTCTGCTTTGGTCTGATCGTGCTGGGCTGCTCCAATGAAAGGGGGAAAGGGGGCAGATGCAAAGTTAGAGCTCACACAAGGGGCAAAGCAACAGGGGATTAGTAATGTTTGGCTTGGGTCCTCTAAGTCTTGTCCACAGCACCAGCTCTGTAGGAAAAAAATCCTCAGTGACCTTACGTCAGTGAATAGCACCCTGGAAAAGAACTCTATGGTAGCACCAAGCTCCATTATATTTCACTTAGATGGCAGTGCTGATCCAAGATGTTTGGGACTGGTGGATCTGGACTGAATTTGCAGGTTAATTTCTCCACATTCAACACCTTATCAGGCAAATCATGAAATACCGTCTGCACATAAATCACTGCTCTAACATGTTCTTTCCCCTCTCTCTGAGCAGAATCTGAAGTCTTTTTCTTAGGCCCTGAGGGAACACAGTGCTAATTGCATCTTACACCAACAGTCATTTAAATAACTACATTTAAAATGCTGACTTCACACTTTATCTTTAAAGCCATTTAAGGTGGCCTCATTGAAAAGTTCGGGCAGAGTCTTATTTCTTGATAGGTACATTTCTTACTTTAATTCTTCACGAGAGACTGCTGCAAAGAATATCCCTTCCCTGTACATCGGATGTCCATCAGCCAAGGATCCCCTGTGGGAGAAGAGATACCCAGGTATTGGTGCTGTTGGAGCAGGAAGCACAGTTTTGTCAGTAGTATAGTCGGAGGCGTGTAGTCGTGGCAATAGCATTTCTTGTTGTTTCAGTAGGATGAAAAAATGGGAGAGAGGCAGAATGGGGGCTCACTTGGGTGAAGGATCTTGCAGCAGGTTGGCCTTGGCTTCCAGGATCCTGTCAGGCCTGTGGACCAGCTCACACCAGGTTGCCATGGGCCCCTGGCCAGAGGGAGGAGGCATGATTTCAGATGGGATTTAGGTCAAATTCTGGACTGGACCAGAGAGGTAGGAAGAAAGGGCATCTGTGTTGTTGCCTGATGGGGTCAGCTGCCCAGTGTCAGCATCTGGGGCATAGGCGGCTGACAAGCATACAGGAGCACTGGGATCCAGACAACCAGGCTGTAGCACAAGGGTCAGTCCAAGGCACACTTAAACAGTCTAAAGGTCAGAGCTGGGGCCTGAAGCACAAGGCCCAGCCCACTCGAGGAGCAAGTGTGGTCAGACAAACCAGGAGTCAAGGAACCAAGAAGACAAACTGAGGGGAACAGGTACCTTGGGGGCTGGAGCAAGATCACAGGCAGAACTGCAGGTGTGAAGTCCAAGAGTCCATAAACCAAGAGCTCTCCAGCTACTCAGGAAGCCCTTGTTGCCAAAGCAAAGAAGGGAAGAGCCAGTTCTTCCATAGCTCGTCCCCCAGGGCTCCCAGGTGGAGCTCATGAGAGCTCTGCCAGCTGCAGTAGATTGGGGCAGTGATCCTGCAACTACCTGGGCTGCTATGTTGGTCCACAATCAGCAGGGGGAGCCCTGCAGCTGCCTTGGGTCTTGACACCCCGGTCGCAAAGCTGCTTGTGGAAGAAGGCTGTATGGGACCCTTCTCAGGATTAGCTAAACATCTTCAGACTGTGGGTTCAGTTGGACACAACTCCACCCTCGCCCTAAACAACTAGTCTGGGTGATGGATCAGAGGTCCTGAAGACACACAGATACTCAACCACAGTGCTTCACAAACTTTCTACACAAGGGAAGCCTCTCTAAACCTTGTGCCCAACAGATGTGGGGATGCAGCTCCCATAATCTCCCTGACAGCTGACCAATGGCCATGGTGGCTCGGGATAATGGGGCTTGTAGTCCAGTAGATCTCAAGCATTGGGGAAAGCCCTTATAGGAGATTGTAAAATGGTCTGTTTGTTCATAATACAGTTGCTGCAAACACAACACATCATCTTTCTCTTAGGCAAGTCTGTTCTGACCATCCTGACTGCTGCAAAATATGAGTGGTTTGAGGAGTGGAAGGAAGAAAAGGTGACCAAGCGTGGAAAGGAATATGAGAGCTTCAAAAGCAGTTTTGTGGAGAGTATCATGGAGAGTATCTTGAAATTTTACCCTCAGATCGAAGATAAGGTAGGAGCACTTCTGGGTACCCTCCAAGTGGCACAGCAAGAAGATATACTTTTCTGCTGTCAAGAGGATGCCTGGTTTGGTATTTTGGGAATGACTTTGCATCACAGTCTGGTTTGGCAAACCTTAAAGATGCTGCCCCAGCTCCCTCTGGTCACATCCTTTTGAGGACAGCTGAGGAAGCTCTGCTAATAGCTACCACCAGCAAGCTCATACGATCACTGGGATTTTGATCCTGAATCCCAGCTAATTATTTCTAGAATTGCATCTATAGGTCTACATTAGCACGTGGAGGTTTTATGAAGTTTAATGACCTATGAACCTGGAACCTGCATCTTTTCAGTGTGTAGCACCTTCCTTGAACCTAAGACCACTTGTTGGCATCTTCATATACTGATGGTACAATCTCCTGGGCCCAGGTGTCGGGGCACACACAACTTAAATAGCCCAAGAAAGGGGTGGAGTCTTATGGACTTTGCATTTTTTCTTTAAAAATAAAAATGTATGATATAGATGGATAATACATCCCAACAATGCTCTCCGGCCACTTAATCTGTGTCTTTTCCTGAACAGATCGAGCTTATTTCTGCAGGAACCCCTCTCACCAATTGCCACTACATTGGCTCTCCACGAGGAGAGATATATGGGGCAGAAAACAGCATCTCTCGCCTCCAGGTAGAAGTCACAGCAACAGTGAGACCTCAGACTCCAATTCCAAACCTCTACCTGACAGGTAAATGCTGACCAATCCCAAGCTGCCACAGCTTTCAGCCATTGTGTTTTATTTTTATTGGTTGTTGTTGCCCATCACATCTTGTGGGTGTAGAAGCCGCTGGAGTATTCTATAGCATGTGTTCAGAGAAAGGCAGAAGGGCTGTGCTTTTGAGCTGTAGGCAAAGTCTTAGGAGGAAAAATTAACGAGTTGGGCATTGTTGGTCCGGAGAAAAGACCATTAAGAGGCTATGTAATGACCATCATCAAGTATTTGAAGGATAGTTATGTAGGGACAGCTGGACAGAGGAGGCAGGATTTTCTTTCCTTCTTGCTTGAGAGCATGTTATACCACAACACCAAGCAGCAAAGTTCTGTTATACAATGGCAGCCCATTCAGCCATATTAAAGCCCTTCTGCATCCAAGAGGAAAAGCTAGTAAATGGGCAGGGAGACCCCATCAATCAAGTTTAGGTGTCTTGTCTCAAATTATTCACGATCTTCATCCCATTAATGGTCACTGGCCAAGTGCCCTTACAGGGGTGAAAGGAGTCGGGGAAAGAAGTGAGGGTTTCACTGAAGGTGAAAAGTCATAGTAGGCCTGTTCTCTGATGCTATCAAGGCTTTTTAACAATCTGCTGCCGTGCACAGAATGTCGAGTTCCATGGAAGAATAAGCTGTTTCAAAAAATGACTGCAGTCCAAAATTCAAGCCGTGCAAGAGTTGCATTGTTAACTGACGCAAAGATGGTTGATAATGGGAACAGAACCCTAAACCCTGATCCATTAACCAGAATCCATCATACTGGCCCAAACAGAACTCTAAAAGCAGCCCTCCATATCTAGGATCCATACATGGAAGACAAGACAAACCTATCACAAGGCAACTACTACTAATGGGATCATGATTCAAAATTAAGAGCAGATCCAAATTCGAAGGGTAGATGAAAGCAGGTGGGCTACCTAAACCTTCTGCAAATGTAACTCGATTCTTGAAGCAATGAGGGGGCAGAGCTAAGATCACTGGAGAAAAGAGCTGAAGCTTCAGTTCCCTGCATAGGACTTGTTATTGCCCACCCCTCTGCAATCTGTGTAGATAAGGAAGAGTAGGAATGGCAGGAAATACAGAACTGATGCAAATGTATGCAGTTTTGCTGAAGTGGCAACATTTGTACAGGTCCTAGTTTACTTTTCTTGCAGGCAAGAGGGTACAGGGAAGTTAGCCCTGTGCACCGTTAAGTCTGGTGGGCTTTAATTACACATGCAAACATGCAGGAAAGTGCTACAAATCGTTTCAGTTTGCAAATCAGGAATATCCAGTTTGCAACTGCAAACATGAACAGAAACACATGCTTTCCAAACATCTTTGTAAATTCTTGAGCCTGGGTTTCTGCTCACAAAGTGTGCACTTTAAAGAACCACAACTTTTGAGAAACACAGAACTTCTTCTGGCTTGAGTTTGAATGAACAAAATAAAACAAAAACAGGTTACCATTGAGAATAGGAGCAAATAATGCTGAGCCTTCATGTGAAGATCAAAGAACTTCAGCAAGCTTGAACATCTTTGGTTCTTCTTGACCCTAATGGAAATGTTTGACTAAAATGTTGCTCCATCTCCTATGATCAATTCACTAAAGCAGGAATGTCAAACTTTTCATCTCTAGGACTGGATTTAGTTTCTGAGATGTTCTTGGGGACTCCCTTTCAGTGCCAGTCACAGCTTCTGACAAAAGGGGGTGGAACCAAAGGCAAACGAGGCTTGTCCAAATACAAAAAAGCATATTTAAACTAAAGCTTCTGCTGCTAGTAACTAAGAGAGGTTTCAGCATTTTAGTACATGTAAGAAAATGTGCAAAAGCTGAGAAAGATTTTCTCAGAGATTTCTCACATCAGGGTGACAAAAATCTTGTTGCCTTCTGGTAAGTGCAGCCCTCACCACTGAGAAGAGGGCAGAGCAAAGACCACGAAGAGACAGCGATGTCTGTGTTTTCTTCCAGGTCAGGATGTTTTCCTAGGTGGCTTCCCAGGAGCGCTTCATGGAGCCCTAGTCTGTGCTTCGGCCGTTCTGCAGCGCAACCTCTACGTCGACTTTATGTGGCTAGAAAGAAAACTCAAAGCTAACAGCTTGAAAAAGAACAACTGAGTCTTCACGTCTTGCCTCGTTAAGGGGTCCTACTGCTCCTGTTTGCCGTAGGCCATGACTCCGAAGCTGCCTGGGTCCCGGGTTCCCTTTCCCAGCAATGGATGATATCTGGTCCTGAGACTAGGCATATATGGGCCTAGGCCCACCTCTTAGGACAGCTCCACTTCAGAGACATTGCTGTGGGGCCACTGCTGTAATTTTGATGTGTAGGCACATTGAGTGATGGTGCTAGGTTTGTCTTGATGTAAATGACTCTCCCACCTTCAACTACATCAGAACCTCAGAGTCCTGCTGGATCAGAACAATGTTCCATCTAGTCCAGTCCACGCAGTAGCAACTGGCTGCCCATGGGAAATTTAGGACATGAGCAGAACAGCGCCCTCCGCCACCTGTTCCCCAGCATGACCTGCTGCCTCTGATACTGGAGGTAGCCATATAATCGTCGAGATTAGTCACCATTGATAAACTTCTCTTCCATGCATGTTTCTAATCCTCTTTTGAAGCCACTCAGATTGGTGGCCATCACTGCAGTAAACCGGGTTCTGAAATGACAGTTTGAAGTTGGTTTGCAAACAACCCTTTGTGCTAACTGTGACTTGCTGTTCTGTCTGAATTCCCAGGCCATTTATCAAGCATGCTAAGAGACATGATACAGATGGGAATGGATTTTTGAAGCTGGGTCCTGAAGCCACTCAGAGCCATGGCTTGCCTGTTGTATCCTAAAGTGTGTGGGTTCTTAACTATGATTGGGGGGGCGGGGACATAGTCTGGAATGCTATCTGAGTGGAGCCACTCTGTGCATTCATGTGCAGTATCAGCAGTTGCTTACAGCGTGGCGTCTCCACCATAAGGCCAGACTTCAGATCAACAACGAACCATTCCAGCTTGGAGAGAGAGAGGAGATACCTGGACCTTGTCATAGTTGTACTTTCAGCCTACGGAATAGTGCTGATGAGGCCTGGCTGTATAAATGCCTCCATACCTGCATCTTAGTGAAGGCCAAGACTTGAAGTTGGCCAACTGCTCTCCAGCCAATTGCTGCCTTGGAGTGAGATTTCTGCTTATCTCTAGCCTATCAAAGACAACTCGATCCTCTTACTATCAGTTCCTGGGGCTCCCTGGCAAGAGCAGCGCCTCATCCTGCAGCTACTTGGTCTAATCTCCTTAGGCTGACTACACTCCCTGGCTAACTAGCACGCCATCTATTATTACACTTAGCTCAATTTCTTACTGAAGTAAAGTAAATCATCACACCCCAGATTGAATTAATGGTATCTATGCTGGCTATTGCAGCAGCTTAGCTCAATTGGTTTAAAATCACATCTTCCCTTAAGCTGTGAACCATAAATATTTACGCAACACTGGAATCAGTGATCACTCTCAAATCTATTTTAGACCATTCTACTTTACTAATTGCAGAATGTTGTCCCTTTATGACACTTGTGTCACTGAATTTGAACAGTAAATGACAATCTCCTTTCCCTGGACTGCATCATCAATGGGCACTTGGTTTTTAAAACTGGATTTTGAGACAGGGAGAATATTGAAAGGTCGTCCATGACATTATTCCCTGACACCATACATCAGGAACCTTCCAGATGCTGGTGGGTACCAAGTCCAGTCATCCCTGCCCTGAAGTTCACCGACATCTGGAGGATCACACACTCCATACCTCTATCATGGGTAGACCAAAGAGTAAGAAATATCCACTTCCTGTCTCATGTGGTTGTGTCAGCAACACCTTTGCATCCCTGCCTGCTTCCATTTTTTCCTTAACTCATTCAAGAGGTCTTATACCAGGGAATGAAACATGAGTGAGGTTTATTTTGTTCCAACTCATCCATCACTACAACTTTTTACAAATCCTTTAAAGAATAAAATAGGTGGTTTTCAGAAGTAAAGACACACGTGCTTTTTTTAATTTGTAAGTGCGCTTCCTATCCTCTTTTGTGGGGTGGCACTGGAGAAACACTTTTGAGCATTCCTTAATTTTATGCTGCTCGTGCTTACTTCCATGGCTGAACTGGAGTCTCTTCTACACAGCAATGAGACTGAAAGATCAAAATAGTTTTCTCAACAAGGGGCGGAGTGGAGAGAAATACCCCTTGTGGTCCCGTGCTAAGCCACCTCAGTCTTTCTGGTTTATGACTTAAGTTTAAAATGCACACTAGGCTCGGAGGGGCTGAAACCCAGAACCCACCCTAAAGAGAGAACACCACAACGCAAGAGTGGACACCATGCTGCCGGTGGACTGCATGTTGCCCCATATCCCACACACCCCACCACCAGCACCACAACTCACAGCAGTGCCTAAAATAACTCATTTGCTAACCATGTTTGCCAAAAACAAGCAAACCCCACCAGGGGATGCCTCCGTGCCCAGACACAACTTGTTTCCAGGCTGTTGTGATCTGCCCTGCTTTGCTGCCACAAACCAGCAGCAAGCCCCCTGCCTTCCTTCCTGTGGATGCCACCAAATTCTGCACCCACAGTGGAGGCGGCAAAATGACCCCAGGCCCTTTGAGGTTGCCCCCTCTGCCATAATACCTTCTACGTTCCCCTTCAAGACCAGTGTTGGTTTGCCTCTTTGCTAAGGCCCAGCGGGACCTTCCTCTGCCTCCCAGCGGTATCTCTCTAAGGTGAATCACCCACGCCTCCCGCAGATAAAAACCAGTATCAGATCTCTTTAAGGCCATCAGTTAAGGGCCAAATTAGATGTCAGATTTTTTAAAAATAACACCAGCCCTTTCCCATGCCAATGGGAATGTTGTCACTAAGGCTAAGAAGGAATTATTCTTCCCCTCCCCAGACACTAAAATCCCAAAGAAAATCCCTTCACTGCATACTTACTACTAGTTCTGTCCTACCTTTAATGGATCAGTTTCTTAATGATGCATTTAGTATCACGTTAATTTGGCCTTGCTTTCTATTTCAGTAAAATGTGCTCTTCAATTCCTTCTGTATTTTCCCTCCCCATCCTCTCCTGTGTTACAGCTGTGAAGAAAAGACCAGCAGCTCTTTCCTACTTTTAACTTGCCACAGTTAACTGAGTCAAACTCCAATGAGTCTTTAAGTGTTAGTCTTGAGGCAGCTGGTTACAGTCTATCAAGCTATAGCTGAGGTTCAGACATGATGATCAAGCACACTAAACTGAAAACAGAGGGGAGAACTTTCTGTCTGTTTGTGGCCATGCGGAGAAAAAGGGAAGTCCATGTGCTCAAGACTTGTGTACCCAACATGTAGCCACCGTGTCTGCCTGCATCTGAACGAAATTGGCCTGGGGTAACCTGGCTCCTGCTGATGGGCACAGTGCAAGGAGGCCTTCCTGCTGCAATGTCTGTGCGTTCCCGCCAGAGAAACAGCAAATGCAGAGGGCTGGGGGACACAAAGCAAAGTTGCAATTTCCAGAGGCCAACAGACACCCCAAATGAAGCCCTTAAAAAAGGCTAGGGGCTTGCTACTGTTGGGAAAATTTGGATAAATCCTGGCAGAAAAGTGTTGCTTATGTGTGCTTTTGTGATATAAAACCAAACCTGCACTCTTTCTCAAAAGCACCAGCTTTCCAAGCCAAGTCACTGTTTAATATTGCTGTTAGATTAAGAAAACGGCACTCTTCCCCTCCCCTCTCACTCTTCTCCTCCCCTTTCTGTAAACCAGAGCACACAAGCCATTCAGTGAATACACAATCACTGCTACAAAGTTGCTGCATAGTCACTGCAGGAATTCACAGTTTACCAAGAAGTATTTAGTTAGCTAGTCCAGAGCCTTCCCACACTATAGCTAATCAGAAAGGTGCTCAGGGTTTGAGCCTTCCTGATAATGGAATGTAACAAGCTTATGATTTCAGGGAAGATTTCTTAATAGTTTGAAGCTACATGTCTAAGCAGACCCAGAGATGGGTTCAAGTTTCTGGAATTTACTCAACTGAAATGACAAGACATTGCAATTAGAAATATTGTCACTTGTATGTCTGGCTGATCTTCCTTATCTGTTCTGTATATGATGACCTGAGGATTTCATTGTAATGTCTGCATTCTGTCATTAATTGCTCTGTACCTGTGTATGTGACCGGGAGAGTATAAAATGCTCTGTACTAGTCTATGTTTGACCTCTCCTTTTGGTTTTGAGCACGTGTGTGATTTCCTCCCATATTTTCCTCTGCTGGATGACACAGGGGTCTGCCCTGTGATTATTCAAGATTATTCTTACCTAGCAAAGATTATGGTGTATGCAGATACTTTTGCTTTTCAGAGCCTCTGTCTCAGGTGCTGCCCTTTTGAGGTTTGGTGATGGCCATTAGGAGAAAAGAATGCCACCACAACTCCCAGAAACAAGCCAAGTAGTGTCACATGCTTTTGTCCCTAGGGTGGATGCCTGTTAGGAACTGTTGGAAAGTCCCTGGCTCCTAGTTCTGACAGCCACGGATCTGAACCCATGGAGACGCTAGTGAGGTTAACTGTCTAGCCCACAGGCCTTCGGTGTTACGATTTCTGCTCCATATTCCTGAGCTCTAAAGAAGATTCAGCATTATTGTTTAACAGCACCAGCTACATCAGGCCTACTCAGAAGTGAAACTCGCTGAGTTCAAGGAAGCTTACACCTAAGTAATGAGAGCAGCCAAAGCAATTTTACTCATCATGTGTTTATTCCACATACTGCTGGGGAGCAATGCTTATGAATCACATGAGGGCTCAGCCTGAGTTTACAGTCATATCATAATCAATGTTAGGAGTGGCGTTTTTATAACCTCATTTTATTTCCTTCCTTTCTCTTTCTTTTCTGGTCCATGCGGGGTGGGGGAGATCCCAAGCTCCCGCTGATACAGCAAAGTTGCTGTTGCCAGAGCCTTGCAAACTTGATCTTTACCTAATGTTTTCCACCTTTTACTGAAACCCTAAAAGGCAGGGATAAGCAACTGCCAGATGATTTAGACTACCACACCTATCAGCCACAACCTGGATGGCCAATTGCTGGGGATTGTGGAAGCTGCCATCCAAAACATCTGGAGGGCGCCAGGCTGCCTAGCCTAACTCTGCTAAATGATCTAAACTTTAATGAGAAAATGGCAGGAGAGAATCTATCAGTCACTGCATGCCAGGAATTAGTGCTTTCTGGAGGGATTATGTCCCTTGGCATTTGCCCGTGGGAGGAGCCACAGCTCAGCAGCAAAGCACCCGCAGTGCATAGCGAGGTCCCAGGCTCAGCCGCTAACAAGTCCAGTTAAATAAGAAAAGGAGAGTCAGGCTGCAGTTATCAGGAGAGCTGTCCATGGAAGGCACTCTGCCAATCAGAGCAGACAGCACTGGGCTAAATGGACAAGTGCCATAAGCCAGCTTTATTTATCGCACTTATATCCTGCCTTTGTTCCTTTCAAGGAATTCGAGGCAGCTTACGTACTTCTCCCCCTCTCGATCTCATCCTCACAACAACCGCCCTGTAAAGTAGGTTGGGCCGAGAGTCTGACTGGCCCAAAGATCAGCGTGGCGGAGTGGGGACGGGAACCCCACATCCGATCCCGGCACTCCTCACCGCCACGCCGACCTTTGGGCCATTGCTGGGGCATATGTGCCAGGCATGCCTCCCTGTGTGTGAGGAGGAGTGGGGAGCTAGACCACACGGGTAGCCAACGTGCGGGAGCCGCAGCCCACCTGCTCCAACACAGGGATGGGGTTGGGCCGATGCCAAGCTGACAGCAGCAGAGGGGCCGGCCTGTGCAGCCCTGCTTTTCCCGTCCCACAAAGCTGTGCCCAAACGACACAGCGGGGGGCTTTTCAGCAAGACACCCTCCATGGAGCCCCTTTTCACAGCCGCGTCTTTCCAGCCGCTACCGCACTTTCTGCTTTTCCTCATATGCTCCCTCGACAACAGCCTTTATGCCTGCCTTCACACCAGCGCCACTAAAAAGGCAGGTGAGCAAGGAAGGGGCAAGGTGAAGAGGAGGGGCATCTCCAGAGGGCGGCTCCAGTGGGGTGGTTGAATGCACATTGCATCTACGCAGAAATCCCCTCCAGCTGTTCTCGCTTACACACGACCGGCCGGCCACACGCCTGCCTGAACAAAGCCTCTTGATTCTTTCCTGTTCACATCAGAGTCATCTCAGGAGCAAAGAAAACCAAACAGCCCTTTTTTCTACCAAAGGAGGAAAAGCAGGACCGAGAGATTGTTTGCCTCAGCTTCTCCATGTGGCACCATTCAAATGTGTTGCACTACCTGTCCCAGCATAATCCTGAGCAAGCTTGGCATAAGGCTGGGGAAGATGGGAGTTGTAGCTCCCCACAGGTTTAGGATAAGCTTTTCAAAGCACAGTGCCCTGGAAAATGGGAGCGGCACTCTTTCCCACCCCCACCCGCCCTCGTTCTCTGGGGAGAAACCACAACCCAGTGGGAGAGCGGCAGTTTAGCCTATGGGAGGCCCCAAGTTCCAACCCTGGTACCACCAGGTTAGAAAGATCCATTCCCAGGTGATGTGAAAGGCCCTCTCTTTGCCTGAGACCTCGACAAGAGGCTGCAACCGCCACCCCAGCCAGGGTAGAAAGCCTTGGGCCCGTTGGACTAAAGGGCTCCTTCCCTCACCAGCAGCAGCTGTACCAGCGAGCTGAGATGCAGGCATTAATTCCCTGTTCCTTTTCCCTCCTTGTTCCTTTATCTTTGCATGTTGAGTCTTTGTAGACAGGGCACCCGCAGGCATCAAGGGCCTTCCTTCATCACTTTTCTGTAAGCTCTTCTGGCAGCCTTTCTGGCTGAGAAGCAACAGAACCCGTCTTCAAATATAGAGATAACTCAAGCTGGTAGAAGGCAACTCAGGTCCTTCCTTTCCTTAATTACATGGAAATTTTGTTTCATAGTGTGTGTAAAATGGCCCAGATTAATGGATTTCTATATTATAAAAGGCAATATTTGTGATGTTTGATTCATGTCCTAAATAAACAGGACACGAATTACCTTTCGTTCCCCACCCTCTAGTTGAGTCATAACAGGGCTAAGCAGGGCAAAGATTATATAATGTGTGTGTGCGTGCATATATCAGGTGCTCTGAAATACTCAGCACTGTTTGGTGTCAGGCTATTGTGGGATAGCTGGGCAGTTTTTCAGCATGTCACACAGAGGAAAGAACAGGGCTTTGCTGATTGTCAACTGTGAATTCCACAGCAGATGGTCCTCTGAGGAGCTCCAATCAAGACCAGGGGCTAAGAGGGAAGCAAAAAGGCTTTTTAATGCATTATCCAAGTGCAACTATGCTGTAAAAGTGCACTATGATTTGACAGCTAAGGAAATAGAAGATATTTATGAGGAAGGTATGCTGATTGCTTTGTCTCCTTCATGTTCAACAAATGGGGACCTGACCAGAGGAGACCAATCAGGGCGGTGAGAAAGGGAGTGGGTCCGAAAACCAAGTCTTGGTTGAAAGAGCTACAGCTCGGCCATCAGGAGAAGCATCCTAGCGATACTCTGATACTCTTGGGCTCATCAGTATTTCTCAGATTGTGAGAATACAAAGGACTGGGGGAGGGCTAGCGAGAACTCTCATCCCCAGGTGGGCTCACCTACTGCCCAGGAAGGCCCCCATCATGGGCTACACTCGATGGGGCTGGTGGAAGTTGAAAGACCAAGCCCCCCACTCCTGCCTTAGGGGGACAGAAAAGACTGTTCTATTTTGGCAAACTTTTCATGAAAGCTTAATAGATTATGACATAGTTACAGTACAATAATATGCAGAAGGAAGTTCCACTGTATTCACAGGAGAGCTTTCATTTTTATAACATTGCAAACTTGCTGCCTTTTTGGCTGAACTGGGAACTCAGAGGGATTTATCTCTGTACTGGATTGTATTGTTCAACTATCAGTCTGTAGGCTGCTTTAATTGATCCTTCTTCTGTTCTTTTGTCATTGTTAGTATTTTTAAAAAACAATACATTTTACCCTTGATTGTAAAATACTTTGGTATTTCAGTGACAGGCAGAAGATGCATTTGGATAATAGAATAATAAAAACAACTCTCTTGTGCCTTTGCAGAATGCTATGCAGAACAAGGGGACTGTTTCATAAGTATCATTTCCAGTCATGGAACAGAAGGAAGCATATTTGATTGTGAAGGACAACCTGTTCAGCTCACACGGATTTTCAACATATTATCACCTCAGAGAAGTCATAACTTGGTGGGAAAGCCCAAAATCTTCTTCATTCAGGTAAAAGGGGGAGCGCAAGCTTACAATTTCAGCACATGCTTTTAACAGTCACAGTGATGAGAAAATTCAGCCCATCTTCTCTTGCCTGTAAGATTCCCGGCATTTCTGATGCAAGTGAGAGATGTGTTTGTTATATCCAGTGCTTTTTTTGTCATAGAATGCACTGGAACGGAGTTCCGGCAACTTTTTTCGACAGATTTTCCAAGTTTTAAAAATAACTTTTGAAAATTTGATGTTTGGTTCACCTGGATTTGAATCACCCCGTTGAGTGTAGCAGGTCGGCAGCAAAATCATTAAAACGGTGCATGCGGGCTGCTTGTGTGTCAAATCCAACGCATGTGTATTTCGTTCGCGCTGGTTGTGATGGCACTGCTCGGCTTGTGGCGCTGCTCGGCTTGTGATTGGTCATGTGGTCGCGCGTTGAGTGCTTACTGCATGCGGTGACCGTTACGTTTTGTTACACAACTGATGTGTGTGTAGTGATTGACTACGTGCAAAAGGTAAATAATTTCATGAGTTCCGGCACCTTTTTTCTTACAAAAAAAGCACTGGTTATATCCCAGTTCTCAAACTCAACAACAGTGTAACCAAAATAGGCACACAGGGCACACTTCTGCAGTCTCTGCCCTGCCTGCTGCTTTGTTCTGGACACAATGCTGTGCTGCGCTGTTTTAGAGTGTGCGTGGCTGTGGCTATTCCTTCAGATCAGGGTTCCAGCCAGCCAGCTATGCCGTCTCGGGTTACACCTTTTCATTCTCCACTCTCCTGCCTGTTTTCCATCCCCTCTCTAGAGCCAACATTCTTTGGTGGCTGAAATTGTTCCATTCCGTGATCCTTCATGTTTTCAGGATGGTTCAAAACCACTTGTGCCTGCGGATGGCATGTGATCCATACAAATGGGTGTGAGAAGGAGTGCGTGAATAGAGGAGCAGTAATTGCTTAACAGCAGAGCAATGCTTTTCAGGTCAAAGGCCCCAGACTCAATCGTCAGCATCTCCATGTAGGCTAGGAAATGACCTTGTGTGAACCCCCCGGAATGGCTGCTACTAGCCAGTGCTGGCAATATAGCAGGGTCCCGGGCTCCTGTGTGCATCGCGTGTGCAGGTGTGTTGGTACATTGTGTGTGAGTGCATGCATTGCAGAGGGAGTGGTCCCACCCACATTTTGCAGTGGGCTAGAAGTTGGACACCTTCTAGCTGAAAGCCAGCGGGGGAGATTTGCAACACTCCACGGAGAGAGAAAGCACGAACTAGTGGAGGTAGGTTCAAAGGGCTAGGAAACAGGCACAGAGGGCTAGGAAAAATGCATGTTACTTCTTTAAAGTGCTTGGTGGGTTGGCGCGACTGATGTCCTATATGCAGCCGGTGGCTAGTCATGAGCCCAATGCACCATCTGTGATTGTACTGGACAGCTTGTGGGTAATTAGTTGGATGAGGTGTGTGATCTTCCAAAAGGCTGAGAGTGTGTGATGGAGACGAAGCAGGAACCAATTTTATGTTGCTCCCAGGACCTCTTGAAAAATCTCTATTTCAGGAGGGTTGCTTGATTTTTATTTATTTTTAACACTTTTATATACCATCAAAATAGCTTCATGACTCTCTGGACAGTTTAAGGTTTGATTGACCAGCCACTGTTTTTAGAGACATCTGCTTTAATATAGCACTTCATTCTTATCATTTTACCTTTTTGTTATTTTAAATTACACAGTTTGATGGCTTTTTGGCAGATAATAGAGTGGATAAATGTTAATAATAAACTCCAAGGTTTTTCCTTGGAATGGAAAGCAGCCCTTGGGCTGAAAATAGTTTGTCCACTCCTGCTTTCAGGTGTCATGAGACTGTTAGCAAAACTGGCACAGCTACTAGCTTCCTGGAATTGGAAAATTAGATCTGCTCAAAGCTGCACTGACGCATTAGGCTGCAATTCCTAGTTGGGAATAAGCCCCATTTAAGTGAGTGGGACATATATGCAGGGGAGATAGCCCCATCTGCTATTTTAATCCAGTGGGTCAAAGCAAATTTCACCCAAATGCATGAAACCCAACCCAGTGAAACCTGCATGCAGGAAGTCCACCTTCACCGAAAAACCATATGCTAGGTTTCTAGAGTGTGTACATGAATGATTCAGAAGTCAACGTGTCAGGGAAATACGCCACTTCTGCCTGTTTCCTGTAAGAGACTGACCTGCCTTCCACACCAAGGAATTCCCAGCTCCACATGACTCTTAGTAAGCCATATGATGCCCTGCTTGCTTTGACCCATCCCCGACGGCTGACTCATGATGGCAAAGAAATTCCCACACACAGCAAGGCTGCATCTAGCGTGATCCTGAACGGAGCTCAGAAACAAACTGGTCAGGCTCAAGCAGTCACATGTCTGGGTCACTCATGCTCCAGAAAAGGGAAGCTGCAAGCTTTCTCTGGCTGTGGGCACCACAAGCTTTCTCTGGCTGCGCGCACCACACAGGGGGCTGCTGTTGGGAGCCCCTACAAGGTGGCTCAATAGCTGTTGCACTCCCTCTGTTTTCAAGGCCTGCCGAGGAACAAGCATTGAGTATGGTGTAAACCTGCAGATGGACAGCCCAGGCCTGGAGACAGGAGGCACCGAGCCAGAGACGGACTGTTTCTCACACTATCTCTCCATCCCTGACAACACTGCAGTCATGTTTTCTTGCAGTCCAGGTATGCAAGTCTAACAAGCACACCCTTTGTGTGTTTACTCTGAAACAAATTCCACCAGGTACGCCCATGCAAGTTGTGAGACTGCTGCCTAAAAAGTCTAATTACATTCTCAAATGTTTTTTTTTCCTGGAGCTTGACATAATTTAAGTTTTTAGAGAAGTAGAGGAAAATCCTGAGAATAGCTTGTTTGAGGCACAGAGAGGGAAGCTGGTCAGACAGAATGGCTTCTCACTGGATTGATCTCTGCTTGCAATTAAGCATATTCAAAGGCAGGTGGAGGGAGAAATCAGATATATGTGATGGGCAAAAATATGCTTCAACTTCTGAGCTTCGCCTTACCAATGTGCAAACCAGTCTGAGCAGTTAAAGCACATTTCAGGAGCAACAGCAGCTCTAGGTGTATCCTTCAGTTCTCCTGGATTCAGTGGGGGTCAGTCCAGGTGCAGCCTCTGCTTTTTATTTAGTTCTCAACAGCAGCCATGAGCAGACTTCTGGCTTACAGGATCTCTTTCCTAGAACTCCGAAGTCCACCTCCTACAGACGCATGCAAAATAGTGGCTCAGGCTGGTGGACATCCACTGAGAATGAAGACGCAGGCTACCTCTGGTTGCTCATGTTCAGCCCAGTGCCCAGTCTGAGCTCTCAAGTTCTGTCACACAAAAATGCAGCACCACCCCCTTGCTCTTTGCAACATTGCAGGAGAGTTAAATGAGCTTTTTTGTTGCTGCTGTTAGACAATTGGGGCTCAAAAACATCAGTTTACCTGCCATAACGTGCTCCTTTGTTGCAAACTGGCTGTGCCTAAGGGCAGACAGGCACCCACACAGAGAGGGCAAAATCCATCTATGATTTGTCTTCAGTGAAGGGTTGCTATTATAGAGCAGAAAACCTGAGTTCGTTTCCATTGCTCCATCTGCGAGGAAACATGACTCAGTTCTGGCCCTGTGATCCCAATATGGACAAATGTGGGTGACTGCACAGCCAGAATTTACTAGAGTTAGTTCTGATGGACCAGGTCTGAAGGCTACAGAGAAATCTAGCTGGCAGGCACCAGCTTAACAGAGGTGAAACAGTGTCCTTAACTTATGTTTTCTGACATTGGCAGGCTATGTTTCCTTCATCAATCTGTGGGAATCCATGTTCCTCCGTGCCTTTTTGGAACTGCTCGAAGGAGAAGAACACCATTTTGAAGTTGCTCGTTTAATGACTCGAATTAGCTGGAAAGTTGCACTCTTCTGTGAAGCCAAAGGAAAATACCAAGGTGCTAAAGAGATGCCGTGCTTTGTCACAAACATGGAGAGACCAGTTTACCCCTTCTCATCACAAGGATGACCAGCCTCCAGTGACCAGGGTTTGAACTGACTGCAGGAAGGAGGCACCAATCCTATTTCATGAGAAATGACTCTTGAACTGCGGAGTAACGGACTTGGATAGGCCACATTTCTATGCTGACCGTGATCCCCATGTTCCAAGGAGCAGCTCAACCATGTGAAATAGATCATTGCCCAAAATAAGTTGCCAATAATTCCCAGTCTCCACTGGAAGATGAATGGCAGACACATTTGCTGTTGCTTTGCTCCGACTTTGACCATTTTAGGTTGTGTCTGGTGTAATATTACACAACTTGAGAAGCAATCACTTTTCCTCCTCTGTACTTGATTAGGTTAGATCCAAGTTGAGATATACTTTGAGTAGATCCCTTGAAATTTTCCAGACTACTATACTCCTCTTAATTTCAGTGGGTTTACCCTAAGCTTGACTAAGTCTGAAGCCAATCCACTCTTCCTTAATGATTCTAAGGTTAATTCTGTAACACTATTGCCTAGAGTCCAAGTAAATGCACAGCTTATTCCAGCACCAGGGAGAGGGGCTTTGTTGCCACCTGCTTTTATTTGCAAACTGGGTAGATGCAAGGGAATCCCTGGTGGAATGAAGTGTTTCTGCTCAAGTGTCTAGCCCACCATGACCTCTCTTGCAACCAACTCCAGTGCTCTATCAGGCAGTTTGGGGGGTCTTTCTCTGCCCTTTAAGTTTTTTCTTCCTCCCTTCTTTCCTTGTACTTCTCTTGATATTGGGGGTTCCCTGAGCTGGCTGTCATCTTGTGCATGAATGGAGCCATTTTAGCTGTCTAAGGAACCAGACTCCGAAAATGAATGTCATTCATGTACAGTTCCAGGGGGCCCATTCTGGCATTTGCCCCAACCCAGTCCTCCAGTGAAGCCCCCAAAAGCTTCTCTGAAATGGCATTGGGTCCTTAGGTTGGAAGAAAGTTCTCCACCCTGGTTACAAATAATCTGTTCCTGCAGCAGGTTATTCTACTTACCTTGATCTGTAATTCCAATTTGTATGTGCCTTAACTTCTTGTTTACCAGGGACAGTTCCTACTTTCTTCTAGTTGTCACTGATAAATCTTACTATTTTCCTCCTTTTAGATAGCAAACGAACACAATTTTAACAAGGCTATTGCCAACATGGTCACTTTTCAGGGTGCATCTCCCTGTATTATTAAACGTCTCAAACACAGAAGGGGAAAATGTCAGCCCAAAACATTTTACTTGTTCACATTTTGTTTTACTGGATTTTTTACATGTGACTTTTCCAAACTTAGGCCCGCCAGAAGTTCTGGACTACAAATTGCAGCATCTCCTTGTAGCATTATCAATAGAAAGCATGATGGGAGTTGCAGTCCAAAACATTTGGTGGGGAATCGAGGCTGGGGAAGGAAGATGAAATGCAACAGAGCAAAACTCCCATGAAATGCTAGGGAGCCAAATTGCCACTGGTGTCTTCTGCTCCTTTGCCAAGTTGGGGCTGGTCTCCTTTTCCCTTAACAAAGCCAATGAAATACACGACAGGAGAGGGAGAAGATGGGAATGACCATCATCACCTCTGCAAGCGGTCTTCTGCTTCAACGACCACATTGCTCTTTTTGACCTTGTGTATACCTCTTAAACCCTTGCCAGATGCAAGGTGCAGCTGGAGTGGCCATACATCCTACTTCATAGAGGACAACCCTCTAATATATGGCATCCTCTATTAATAGGGTTGTGCAGGGGGAGCTCAGTTTAAAGATGAAGAGCCCATAAGCTGCTGACCAGGGTGCCTCAAAGCTAAGAAGGCCCACAGGCTACCTGGTTAGTCTTCCTGCTATAGTGAGATGTGCATTTCTCTTTAGAGTCATTATTTTGAAATTGGTACCCACACCTATACATTAGCAATATGCAAATCTGTGTCTTCTGTCAGTAACAAGTTATGCACCCTTGTGCAGACCCTCAGGAAGCCTTTTGTTGTATCCCAGAGGGCATGACGGAATCTTGCGCCCAGGTCACAAGGCATAACCCATGCGTGGAGGCCAGGGCCCGCCCTCCCAGCACCTTCCCCTCTCCACATGTTCGGCGCAACCTCAGTGGAAATCATCTGCACAGCCAACAGAAATGTGTGAACTGCAGCATGTGTGCATTTGCAATGTATGGTGATAAAATGACTAAATGTGTGTCAACCTTCTTGGGATGAATTCAGGTATTCTGCTAGGGCTCACCCTGGAAATACTGACCATTTATTTGAGCTCCAACTGCTCAATGCCTGTAATCCCTTCTAGGCCACATTTGTTAATTTACTGGAAACTGGTGCAGAAAAAATGCCCTCCCCCCTCTCCACATTGCATGTGTGTGCGTACACACAGTACTCACAAAAAGAAACAGCGGCTGGCAACCGGCAGCACAGTTCCAGCTCCACCTTCTAGAGTTCACCAAGAGTCCCCGTGGGGGGGCCACTATGCCACTGGGGGGCCACTATGCCACTAGGAGGATGTAAACTGTTAATGTCACCCAGGTTTTACTGCCCTGCACTTTGCATTCTGACCGTAACACACTTGCCAAAGTCTGTCTGAGCTCCACTGATTAGCTCCGGATAATCAGATCAACCCACAGGTGGCCTTGTTTGCCTTGCTTATAAGGAAACTCGATAAAATGGGCAGCAACTCTTTGCTAAGCTAAAACTGCTTTTAAAATAATACATAGAATTGGAAGCAATAACTGATGTAAGGAGGCAGATGTTGTGCGTAAACCTAAAGAAAGCCACCGCCCATGAAATACACTTCAAATATTTACAAGGGCTAACATATAACATAGCCTGCTTCAGTCTCGGGGCCCTGCTGCCTTCCCCAACCTGGCCCACAATCACCCTGAGCCAATATAGCCCAGAATAAGGGGCGTTGTGAGCACACCTGTACGGCTCCCAAGTTGGGGAAAGTTGCAGGAGGAGACCTTGAGGAAAGGGCCACGTTAAATGCAGACAAACACAGAAGACCTGCCATACCATGCACTCACAGGTCAGCTCCAGGTTCTTGAGGGCTCTTGGCTAAGGACCCTCATTCGGCTCCCTCTCTTGGTACATCCTCCTTACATCTCAAGCAAATCTACCATGGCAGATGCAGACCCTATATGGAGACCACCCTACAGCACCACGTATGTGATAGGCCTAGTTATGGACACCACCTTTGCTAGCAGGCAAGTACTGGGAATATGGAAGAGTTTCCTTATCCATTCTCAGGACTCTGTTACCTGGGGATCCCATAAAACGGATGTTAGGGACACTGGTCTCATGTTTTCCCTTTGTGTTTACATTTTGCACCTGGTCACTGCCAGAATTCAAGCATTCTGGGTTGGGGAGACGTCTGTTCAAGAAGCAGAGTCCTGTTTACTTTCTCTGACAACCCCAGTTCTAATCCTTTGACACAACTGGCCGATCTGAAACTGGAAGCAGAGCAGGTTCTTTTGACCGATTTGGCACAATGCAGGTTAAAATATGGATAACGACCAAGATGTCTAACAAGCTGCATCAGTTATCCGCAGAACTCCATTTCAGAGCATTCTTCAAAGTAGATGCCAACGTCCACTGTGACTGTTGGCCACCAGACATCAACTGGATCCCCCTGGGTCAGCTGGGTCCCCAACAGCCACTGGCAACAAAGTTATAGACTCATAGAATATTAGAGCTGGAAGGGCCAAGGCCATGGAATCCAGCCCCCTGCTGTTGCAGGACACCAAGTTACACCACCCCACTTTCTTTTTGCCCAGTTTCTTTTTGAATGTCTCCAGTGTGGGAGAGCCCACCACCTCTCCAGGCAACTGATTCCACTGTCGTATCGCTCCGACAAGGAGGAACGACCAGCCAGAATCTGAGTTGTTGCAAATTGAATTGATTATTCCATGTCCTACACTCTGGCATCAGCAAGAAATCTTGACCTTCCTCTTTGTGACAACCTTTGAGGTACTTATAGAGGGATATCATGTCCCCCCTCAGTTTCCTATTCTCAAGGCTGAACATACCCAGTTCTCTCAGTCTCTCCTCATAAGGCAGAGAGACTTTGGATCATTTTTGTTGCCCTCCTCTGGACACTAATTTTGCTGAATCTTTCTTACATCTTGGTGCCCAGCACTGGACACAGTATTCCAGGTGAGGAGTGACTAGTGAGGAGTATAGAGGAACTACTGCTACTCATGATTTGGAAGTTAATACTTCTTGTTAATGCATCCCAAAATAGCATTTTCCCTTTTTGCAGCTGCATCACATTGTTAGTTCATGTTTAGCCTATTGTCCACAATTACTCCAAGATCATCTTCTTTTTGAGTTCTGTTGAGCCGTGTATTCCCCATCTTGTATCGATGCATTTGGTTTCTTTTTCCCAGGTGGAGGACTTGGCACTTGTCCCTACTGAATCTCATTCTGTTACACTTTCAGCCCACCATTCAAGTTTTTCCCTGGTTAGAACAGCAGCCAGATGCTTAATGATTCAATTCCAATAAAAAAATTCCTCCTCATTATGACAACTTAGCAGAAATTAAATGTTTTTCGGAAAAACCAAAAGGATGTTTGGTATCATCTATTTATTGAGATCACCACACAGGAAAAAAGAGACTACAAAGAGATTAAAAACAAATCTGAACACTTAAAGTCTCTCTCTCGTTTTTTAAAGCTTCCAGAACCACAACTACACACTTGTGGATTCAAGCAGGGGAAGGAGCTGATCTAGGAAAAAACAAGAAACTTTAGGCAAGAAAGCAAACCATCAACAGAACTTGACTCCTCTGAAGTTGAGGTTTAAAAAACTGCCAACACAAGAGAATATTGAGCAAACTTTCAATATTTAAAACTTCATGCCCAGAGTATAGTAACAAGAAAAAAATGCATTCCAAAGAGTCCATTATTATGAACTGAGGACACTATGTACTGAATGTTATATCAAATGCAACAAGAGGATTCAACTCGCCAGTGCTCTCATTAACAGCTCTGTGCCAGAGATTCCATTGTGCTCTAGAAAATCTAGTTTTCATGCTAGAACAGGCAGTCATTTGCTAGCAGCAGGTCAAACACCCTTTTTATGGCATGGAAATACCATACAGTTTTGACCATCTGCAATTTCTATTACCTGTAGCACTACAAAGAACTCCATGGGGATACAGTGGACACCTGGCATACCAAAGACCAGAGGATCTTTACCCTTTAATGAGCAACACTGCAGGAGCCCTTAGCTGGCTGTTCCTGTGCTAAAATTATCTGGAGCTAGTCTACTTACAAGGTGGGATGAAGGGGTGGAATGAACTGCACTATTTCCAGCTGCCAGGGTGGTGGAAGAGAACCAGCTTTGAAAGCTTCCCCAAGTTCAAAATAAGCGTATTGTGTTTGCTAGAGACAGGTCTGATCATCAAGCTACCTTTCCACACACAGACAGAAGCAAAGTCAAGGAGCTGCAGAAAAGAGTGATGCCTTTGGGTGGGATATGGGCACTAGCGCTGGTGAGGCTTAAAGGCAACAAAGCTTAGCTTGACTAAACAGGTTTCACAACATCGTTCTTTCAACTGAATGCTCTGATCGGAAATGTATGTAAATTCAAAGGTGGCTTTGGGCAGACTTTAGTTTCTTCTTCACATCCAGAGTAGGAAAAAAAGCAAGCCAAACAGAACAGTAGAAAAGGGCAAAAGGCCACAAGCTCAAGTCAATCATTAAAAGAACAAGCTTCTTTGCTTTACAGCCTGTTCTGTGAAATTACAGGGACTGTAGTAACTTTTACTCTATATTCGGTTTGAGGAAAAAGTGTTACGATACCACATATATGCTGTTGCACTCGCTCGCTCGCTCTCTCTCACACACACACACCCTGAACCACCATCTTCTGCAGCGCACTTGTGAATGATGCTATTTCTACCTAAGTGTCCTTCAACATTTAAAAAGTGATCCTCAACACAGGGCTCCAAAGTGTTGATTTATACAACAGCAATTAAGATCTCGGGCTCAAAAGTGACAGTCTAATTCAATACTGGAATGGTGAGTTTATGGTGCAAAAGGCAAGTGTTTACAAATGCTTCATTTTTTAAAAAATGATCTTCAAGGACATATTGCCACTCTATTACTTATGGTCCTAAGGTAGACCAGATCAGTTCAGATCCTACTACCATACTCCTGAGACATCTGAAATGAGCTTATGGGACTGCAGGCTGACAAACTGGTAAAAAAAGAAAAAACCCATGACTCAGAGGATTTATAACACCCACCCAAATTATTTCTTATCAGCAGCCATCAAATCACACGTCCTTTAGTCTAATGATCAGAAATGTTACCATACAACTGCACAAAAGAGGAGTTAGGAAGCCAGAAGTCAAATGCAACAAAATCATTTCCCCCATATCCTTAGCATCTCTAGAAAGATGTGCAACATTGAATAGTCATTTCTCAATATTGCCATCTATAAGGAGAAGATTTCTGACAGGTCTGTCTGGCAAAAAATGTGCCTCGGCTAGTGCAAAGGGGGTTTTAGTGTTCAAGCCCATGGGCGGAGGTTGACAGCTTCCATTATGTCAACCACAAACCACCCTGTCGGCTAGGAGGACAACATCAGGAATCTAGGAGACAAAGCCCATGTGTTCATCCGACAGGCAAGGCACCCCTGAAATGCAGCCCTTTGAACTGATACAGTAGAAGATGAGTACCACATCATTTGGATGGACACACATGGAAACACACAGTACTGCCCATTACTGATTCATATGTCACAGTACAGGATAAAACAGTCCAAGTAGCTGAGAGGGGTGCAATTAGCCAAGGACTTCAAAAGGTACCAGACACGACCACTGTCAAAGTGCAGGTGCACAGTTAAAAGCACTTCTGTTCTTCCCTCCACCTGGGCACAACAGCACAGCCTAAAGGCTTCGGGGCTGTACTGATAGAAGGCGGGGTGTCACCTGTGCTTCAGTGAGCTCATTTGTGGGACAAGTCTTTATTCAACTCAGCAACACGCTGGAGTTTCTGGATTGACTTTAGATCTGCATAGATTAAAAAGAAGAGAAAGGACATTTAAATAAAGGTGCAAGACTAAAATTCCTGTGCCAAGGTGAAGCTCCAGCTAAGAACGAACTAAGTTGGAGAGTGTTTTATGTCAATCATAGTGAAGACAACACAGTGGGTTTCCAAAACAAAATACTTTCCTCTGCACATCCCTGTATTTGACATTGATTTCTTAGCAGGACTAGGAAATGAGTGCATCTGGTCACAGTCAATGCTTATCTCATATGACTGTGTATTTGCTTCCATGGATTTCAGCCAGTAAACTGCACTAGAGGGGAAGCAAAAGCAAGCAGGATATGGAAGAGCAAATCCTGTACTTTTAACCTAACAGCTTTTCTGATTAATCTGACTTGTTAGATTAAAAGACAACCTGTTTGACCCTTGGGTTTTTTTTCAGCTGTCCTCTGCAGGAAAGAACCTGAACCACAGTACTAGCTCACATAGACTACTCTCCACACCCACAGCCAACATTACAAATCATACGGTATCCCCACACGTATTTCCATGGCAAACTTTTGAAAGAAGCACTCTTTTTAAAATGGATAGAAAAAATCATATCCACAACTGACAGTTATCTTCCAACAAGCTAATAAAAAGCCAGGGTGCAGCAGCTTACTTTTTGATCCAGTCGTTGATAGTCACTAGACTTTGGTCTTCTGGTTAACTTTGATTTTTTTCCTTCTAAAGCAAAGGCAATGATCTTTGAACGGAAGAAAAAGAGAGCTAGTAAATAATTTGGCAATAATTGGGCAGAAGAAAGCATCATCTTTCAATTAAAATTTGCAAGGCAGCTTAAGCAACAATTAAAATAGAAAATAAGTACTAATGAAACTACCAGATAAACAAACGAGAGGGGATTGGAAGACACCATGTAAACTCCTTGGTTTCCAGGTTCTTAAGTCATTCAACAATTTGGCAGGCCAAACACCAGCAAAAAAATGTATTCACAAGCCCAGAGAATGTCACGAAGAAAGAGATGGGGTAGCCATCTTCAGAAGGAAGCTCCCCAGCCTACATGTCTTCTGCAACATTCACATAACCCTAACACAGACTGAGTTACACAAGGATTGTTTAAGTCTCCAATAGCCTGTTTGACAGGTTTGCACAACACAAACCACTCTAACCCTTTTGGGATCTGAGCCTGGGGAGAAGGTTGCACTCCCTCTGAAGAACCAGCTTAGACACGAAGTTGCTCTTGGGGATCCTCAAGCAGCTGTTGTGGCCAGGAGCTCATTTCTCCAGGCTCAGCTGGTGTGCCATCTGTGTCCCTCCCTTGGCAGATATCACACTCCTTAATTGTGATTTGCTTTCCATGGGGCTGACCTTGTAAAGGCCACAAAATGTACAGCATGTGTGAAACTCAGCAGCCATACTATTGTCTGGCATTTGCGTTACAGACCATTTTTCACTGTCTTGAACAAATTACTTGGAAACAAATCGGAAGCCAGAGCAACAGTCAAGGTGCTGGTTTTGCCCTATAAAGCCCTGAAGAGCATGAGGCCTGGTTTCCTGAAAGACTGTCTCTTTCCATACAAGCCTGCTGCTATTTTGAAATCTTAATCAGAAGCTCTTTTGTATGTCTCTGATTAAGGCAAACAAGGCTTCAGAGGTGAGGCTGACAGGTGCATGAGACAGTGTTTTCTGTAGCTACATCTCATCGGTAGAACTCCCTGTCAAGGGAGGTCAGGCTGGCTACATCTATTTTAAAGTTTTAAGCAGCCAATAAAAATTGCATTTTTGCCAGCCCTTCTGGACTTTAAAACTGTGTTGATTATTTATGTATAATGTTCTCCTTTGCTTGGTTTTTGTTTTGCTTGTTTTAATGTTATGGTACATTGCTTTGAGGACTATGATGGGCAGCAAGTAATACACAAACATTTTAAATAAATAAATGATAGAAACTCACCTTCCGTTTATTATGGTAGGCAATGTACAATGCAGCAACAACAATAGCTGTGGTCACCAAGTAGGCAAAAAAGTGGCTATTTTCAGTTTCATTCTTTTGGGGTGGGACAGCCACTGAGCTCTTTGTTTTATCACTCTCGGACTTTTCCTCCTGATCCTCTTGACCTGCATCCTCCTCGTCTTCCTCCTCCTTTTCTTCTCTTTGAAAAGAAGTTTGATCCTGGGAGCTTTCAGCCTTAGATGGCAAATTCTCTTTTTGCTTGGAGGTGTCCTGGGGCTCACTAGGCAAGTCCTCTTTTTCCTTGGAGTCTGGATCCCTGAAGACAGGATCTGACTTTTTAGGTGGTGCTCCTATATCAGAAGCTTTACTGTGGGAGGTTTCTTCAGACAAATTCTCTTTTTGCTTGGAGTCATCATGTCCTGATGTTTGGGGAGCTCCTCCCGAATCAGAAGCACCATCCTGGGA